CAGTTATTTATGGAAATTTTGGAACGGGGTTGTCACCACTGTTTTCAGCTTGAAAAACTTTAGAAATAGTACTAGTTCTATTTTTGACTTTATTTGTTGGGACTGGGATATAGTAAAAATAAAAGTTAACAACTTCTATAACACAAGTTTTTTTTAACTGTGGATCGTTTCTAACAAAAAAAAATCGACGATATATCTGGTATGGTTTCTGAAGTTTTGTAAGCTGAAAGCAGTGTTGAAAACCATGTTCTGAAATTTCCTTTAATAATTGAAATATTGATTTTTAAAAATACGTTATGCAAAAATTTCACTAAAATTAAAAGAAAAATATGATCACAAACTATTTTTAACTAAATTAACCTGTTAATAACAGAGATATTACATTCTGAAAATAGACCGAAAGTTCCACTTAGAAAACGTAGCGTAAATTTTGAAAAAATTGTGTTACAAAAACTGTCACAGTGCTAATCAAAATTCATGGCTTTGCGCCGTTAAAAAATTTGAGGGCTTATATTTAAATTTTGTTAAGTAAATCTTGTTTGAGATGGTGTGATATGCTCATTTATTTGTGGTTTACTAACATATCCATATTTTTAACAATACATTATACGAGTTATCGTAAAATAAATTGTAAAACCAAATTTTACAGTTTGCCTTAAGTGTATGAAACTATTATTTTTTTTTAATTGTAGGAAGATAATAACATTAATTTAAGGCGTAAAAAACAACGACTTTATTTATTGATTTCGTATAGAAAGGAAATGAAGTCATCGTAGCAAACTTTTATTAAATAGATGTTTGTAGAAAACTATGCTTCCTGATGCAACCTTATATTTTAAGGATATATTTTTATTAATTCAAATTGTTTATACAGAATGTTAAAAAAAAATGGCTGGGTCAATCAGTTTTACGGATTAAACGAAAATGGATATTTTTACCAAGTCCTGGGAACACAATAATATTTTTCATTTTGATATATAGGCGTTATTATAAAAAAATTAAATTTGCAGATTCAATTGTCAAGGCTTCTCTAAGAACTTAGAACTGTACCTATATACTTCGAGGGCGAGGGAATTTCCTTCTAAATAATTTAGGCCATTTTTTAATATGTGTAAATATAGGTATATGTAAGCGTTTTGTTCCTGCTTTTAACGTAGTTTGACTTTGGTAGTGGGAATATGAAATAAGCATGTCTGCCTTTTAAAGAAACATAATGTAGATAATTATGCGACTAGACAGTAGAAAATGGCAGTGGTTACTTCATTCTAATGAATGTCGTCACATACAAATTGGTAATTTTAACAGCTTAAACCGGCGCCAGATCGCATATAACGATAAGTAATGAAAGCCAACAATAATATTTTCGTACCCACCTGTTTCTTCTAATAACCTAATATTTCAGTGAAATATAACATTGTATGATATTATAGATTCAAATTACTGAAACAGGTCGGAACTGTATGCTTGTGTACAATTAATTACCACAGTTTAAATTAGTAAAATGTCATTTTATGAAAATGTATGATCTATAATTTTGCAATTTGGCCGCTAACAATTCCATATACTACCTTACGATTCCGCAACCAGCATTTATGTGTGAACATAGGTAGAGACCAGATATGTGCATTAAACATTAACGGCTTTATTACATCAATAACTTAATTCTGAACAGGCGCCTGAAATTACCATCTGAACCCGACCATCACAAACTTCGCCCAAATCCAACAGGCACTAAAGAAGCAATTACAGAAAGGGGCCTACTGTCACCCTTGCCACCAACAAAGCAGTAAAATAGTCGTGGGATCGTCTATGCCACATCGACAAGAGTCGATTGAGAAAAACGATTTGTTTGAAGTTGCATCGATTTTCAGTGTGACAATGAGTAAAAACATAACAATGTGAACAACCGTATTATAATTACCAGGTGTTATTTAATCAAAGCAATGTCTCCTAATTGTGTAATTGATCCGAAAAATCTTAAAATAGATATATCTAAAATTTCAAAAATAAAATACGTCACTGTAAAGTAATCTCAAGTGGACATTATGAACACTTTTAGGAAGCAAGTTATAAGTTGTTTGTTAATATGTTTGGGATATTCTTACATTTAGTTATCTACTGTAGTACTGCGTTACAAGTGGTTCACCGACAATCTCCCACATTGTTTTGAGTCTACGAACGTTTTTAATGTTCACGAGTCACAAACCCGCAAATATTAATATAAAAAAAACACTTATCTAAAATCACTCCTCAATTACTATTTGATTTCGTCTTTAAAATGTAAGTAGTATGATTTAAATTTTCCATTTTTGAAATATTTCGAATATCAGTAATCCATTAGTTTATTTCAAAATTAGCTGAAAATGAAACAAAATAGTTGTCATTCTTCAATTTAAAAATATTGTGTAACAAGTACTTAGGTAATGAAATTGTGGAAACTTAAAAAAGATATTGTTATACTTGCAATCACCGAATCCTGCAATATTTCTTTCAGACTGCGGTATTTTCATATTTTAGATACAAATAAATCCTTGAGTTTCAACAATTAAAATTAAAAAGTGTAGGTTGGATCGCTGAATTGCACGAATTCTCACCTTGGAGTAATTAAAATAACGCTCAACATTGAAAATAATATTCCAATTTTGATCAAAATTTTTAATAACTAAAAAAACCAATCCAAATTTTGTATACATAGTGAATACCTACTGCCAACAACAAGAATGTTAACCTGAATTTTGGAATCATGATAGAGAAAGCTGAAATAAAATTTATCTCACACGGGCAATGCGCCTACTCTCAATTCAATAAAACCTTTCTAAAATCAGTAGGTTATTTCGCCGGAAGAACTTTATAAACTATATTTTTTATAATCTACATCCTGCAATCAATTACCATTTTCGATTATTTTTATCTTGTTTAATAATTTAGACGTGATATCAGTGAAAATATTGTCGTATTAGGTCGGTTTAGGTCTATGGTTTTGACGTAAATGTAAATGTTGGCCTGAAAAATTTCTGGCCTTTTTATCAGTTTATTACCATGCGAATGATTATGGGCGCATAATAATAATTAGACATTTTTTTCAAATAAGGCCTGTTTATTTAAAAAAATTAACAATCGTTTTGTTATTTACTGACAACGTGCTGCATCAACATTGTCTTTGGTATTTCGTGTAAACTAATTTCGTTCTTATGTGTAACATGCTTTTCATATCTGATACGTATACCTCAATGATGTCAGCATTGTTTAAAATTTTACATCTCACACGGTATTTTTAACTGACTGTTTTCAAATATAAATACAGAATAAACAACTTCATCACTACCTTAGTTTAACAACGAGCTAATAGCCTGCCTAAACACATAATATCCTGTTTTTAAAAATACAAACAGATTTCTTACTGCCGTGAGTTTTTCAGCACTATTATTATGTTACAAATGACCTTATTAGTCAGTCCAAAAAATATCTAATTCAAGTAATTTTTTGGCTTGATAAACTACAAGAGCCCACTGAATTGTTCTAAATCATTTATTGAAGCAAGCGGTGCATATTTTAAATTTGTTTACTTTGATTTAAATCCTTATCTTCCACAAACACGTGGTGGCTCTGTTGCTTATGACTCACTAAATTATATGTCTGATAATGAAATCTTAAAACCTTCAAACAATGCAAAAATTCATTAATTGTATAATTATTTTTTCCCCGTTACACAACTTTTACTTTTTTTTCTCCTCAGATATTTTATTTTAATTCTTTGCCACATGTTTTCGGTTCATAATTACTTAACTGAGAACAATGTGTTTAATATCGTGATCCTGTTTGAAATTTTGCTTTATTACATTGGTTTCTGGAATACCACAAGGATTCAGTTGGGGTGCTCTACTGTTCATCTGTTTTATTAATGATTCGTCGACGCTATTTATACCGAAATGTTGCTTTTTGTTGGTGACTTTACATTGTTCCACTATAAATTAGCTCAATATTGGCAATAAAGCTAATATTATTATTATAAATAAAGCCCAATAGAACCAACTAACTTATTACGTCTTAAACTTAAAAAAAAATTATTGGACAATCAGAGTTCAATACATTATCTAGTCCTACTTCCCTCAAGGAGATATATATATATCTGCTTCATATATATTTGTTGTGTTGCATAAAATAACGGAAGTTTAGTTTTTTACACAATTTATACAAAATTTTCCTCGTGAATCACACTATCTATTAGTGAAAACTGCATGAAATTCGATACAGTAGTTTGGGATTGGCGCGTACAGACAAACAGACAGACAAACAGAACCTTTGTTTTATACCACTAATGTATAGATATACATACATATTTTTTATCATACACTTGTACTTCGACACAAGTGGGGCATGCTCACCTATTCTAAATTATTTACTTTGCGTGTTTGTTTAAATTTGATTACGTTACAATTGAAATTAGTCCGTTTATGTTTTCCAAAAGATTATACATTTAAATCTATCAAAAAACAATCATAAGAAGGTGAATAAAGCAATTGAATAACACATTTGGCTTCCCGTTTTCATGTATCACGGGTACTAAGACCACCCTTGAGTATATAATAAACCACTATATTTGAGATATCGTCTTATATGCTTAACAGATGTTACATTCCAAATAAAAAAATTTCAAAATATTTTCTAATGCGTTGATTACAATTTCATAAAGCTGCTCTGGCTAGTGCATATTAAGTTTGCAATCTTTATTGTCTGGAAATATTACACCAATATTTAATATTAGTGCAGGAAAATATGTTATCAGGTATATTCAAGTATTTTTATACAATCAGTAGATAGATAAAGCAAAAGCTATGTCAGAAAATGGTGAGCAAACAGTTTACTTTCACTTTCCGTTTTTACTGATTTTCATCTAAAGTAAATCACTGCTTACTAAACAGTGGTTTGTTGACGTTATTACTAATAATTCACAAATAGTGGAGTATTTTCTCATTGTAATTCCCCTTTTTCACTTTTAGAACTAGTAGCGGATCTGACAACATGTGCGATAACGCCGGGAAAAGACGTTGCAATAGAGATCCCAACGGATAACAAAGGATTAGGAGTGTTTTTCGTAGGTGGGAAAGACACAGCTATACCGGTAAGTTCTCGAGAGATTACTGAAAAAAGAAATCAAACTGTTTCGTTTACAGAATGGAGTCGTGGTAGTTGAGGTGTATCCTGGAGGGGCGGCGGACAAGGATAATCGGCTAAGGCCCGGCGACCAAATCCTAGAAGTCAACGGGACGCACCTGAAAGATGTAACACACACCACAGCTTCACAAGCTTTGAGACAAACACTGCCAAAGGTGGGTAAAAGAATCATCGATCCATGATCGGCAGAATCTAATTTCATTACATTACGGTGATTACCAGTTTCCGATTCTAATCTTATACTGACGGGAGGGAAAATACGCCGTTATTTGAAAACAGAGGAAAATATTGTAGAACAACTATAAGAACTACAGTTTTCTACTCGTAGCACTGTGACGTTGGTTTAATTGAACTTCATAGATATGTTAATAAATCGAATCCTTCTCGTAGTCTATAAATAGTAGATATAATAGTGACTGGTTTCCATTGATCGTCCTATAATAATCCTCAGTGTGATTATCATATCAGTGCATGATCGCCCAATTCTGATATTTTTATCTACCACGGTTATGATTCTGTTGAATATCATCCTGTCGGATATTTTACTAACCACCGAAAGCAAGATATTCCTCTCTAGTGGCTTTCTTAGTTTTAATTTTGTTGTTGTTATAGTTCCAGGTCTTTCTAAGAATATTTTTTAGACATACCGTGTTTCTCTCACCCGATTTGTCTTTTATTTAATTTTTTCAACTACATTTAAGCAACATATTTTACACAAAATGGTTAACGGACTAACTTGTTCTCATTGTTTAGATGAAACTGGTTGTTTACCGACCGGAAAAAATCGAATACACTAAGCTGGACGTGGACCTAATCAAGAAGCCCGGAAAGGGAATGGGGTTGAGCGTTATCTCACGGAAGTCAGGGAAAGGGGTATATATAGGCGATATTGTAAGTATACGAGAGGTGTGACGTTTCCTGAATTAATTCGAAGAGTTTAGATAAACGGAGGGACCGCCGACGTGGACGGGAGGATAATGAAAGGGGACCTGTTAGTGTCTGTGAATGGACAAAGTGTCGAAAACGCGTCACGCGATGAAGCAGGAGCCATTCTTAAGACTGTGACGGGGAGAGTTTCCCTAAAGTTGCACAGATATAAACCAGTCGCGAGATAATTAATCTCGTCACATTTAGACTTCGTATTGTGGTGTTTGTTCATTCGCCGGCAAATTGATATTATTTCGATTCAAAGTATTGTCACGTTTTTTTTACTATGATGAGTTGCCAGATTGTTTTCGTTTACCGAAGGAAGAAATGTGATTTCTTGTTACGTAAATGTGTTTTGTTTCGACTGTTGCATTTAACTTTTTTGTCGCATTTACGTAAAAATCTATGTAACGTTAATATTTATCTAGTCACTTAAGTTATTGTTACTTAATTTATTGACTAAGTATATATATTTTGTAAAATAGTATACCTGCTTACATTGTGATAAAACTAAAATTTAGAAAAATAAACTATAGGTACATTTAACAATTAATAATTTATGGAAATACTTCTAGGGTAATGTCAAGTTCCACCGTATTTTTGAATATCGTTTTGTTAACAAAACGTCATAGTATGGCGAAGTATTATGCAAACTTAAAACAATGTTTAGATTTTAATTAAATCAAGTAAATTAATATTTATAGATGATTACAGTAAAGATGTGCATGTATTTATCAGTTAGAATGCATTACTATTTTTTAGGTATTAAATTAGTTTATTATTATAAATAAAAATAAATGATGTATTAAACAGACTGTAATAATTTGTAAATAATGTATTCTCTTGAAAAGTTCACTACTTGTACTAAATCTAGAACTATTTTGTAAATAGGGTTATGCAATGGTGCATGCTGGAATTTTAATAAAATTCACTTTATCTCTTGCTACATATTATTTGTATTTATGTAACAGATTTCACCTCTTTTCTAAAATAAATTTTAGAGCTATATATTGAGCTTCAATCATCAATCTCAAACAAACGTTGAATAGATTTCATTGTATAACAAACAACTTTTTCCAAGTTAGTAGAACAACAACTTAAGAAAATAAAACTTTTAAACTCTAAATAAAATTCGTGTATCACTTCCAATATCCAAAAACCCAAGTAAGGTCGTAAGGTGTAAAATACTATGGTTAGAACTTCGTTATGAATAGTGGAAGCGTTAATATTACTTGAAGTAAAAACTTCCACCGACAATGATACAAAAAGTAAAATTTGGTGGAAAAGTAACCTTAAATTAAAATTCAAAAACTTTTATTAATATTAAAGGACGCCCGAAAATACGAGCAAAGCCTTCACCTCCTCTAAAAACAACACTACAAATTTATATCCACAAATATTCACCTTGTGAAATTCGACCAATTCGCAAGTTCGTGGAATCTTGACTAAAGCAAAAGGATGGTTACACCCAGTTATTACAATAGTGTAGCGGTGCAAATGAAACAATCTCGACACAAATATTTAGACAACTAACGTCCCCCAGATAAACAATGAATGATAAAGCTCAAAAGGGGGAATTTCGTTACGCCAGACGGAGTCAAATTTTCAAACAAAGATTTTACGTAGACACGAGTTTTAATTTACATGAAAATGAGTCCCCCCTCAAGTTTACATAGTGGACTGAGTAACCACATAAAATAAAGTACGGTTAAGATAAATACAAACGACAGGTATTAAATACAACCGAAATCACAATACGGTGGGTTAGTACACACTTCGCTTCGAGTGCGTGTTTCAAGAACATTCAAAATTCAAGTTGCAAAATAGCTAGTTCCACATTAGTAACAACACGATGATATGAATTTCACCGCTTAATTTACATTTTGAAACCAACTATAAACGCATGGGAATATATGTGCTTGACATTATAGAAATGATTTTTTAAATCCGATTTCGCAGTGCGGTTTTCTTTTCTTAGTTATAAAAGTTAATTTTGAATCGAGACACCACAGGGACACTCACTATGATTACTAGTTATTGTCTCCACGACATCAAAACCTTCTTCAATCTGTTAACACGTTTTGACAGCTACACAAAAAGCTAACCTACCTATTAAATGCTTCCTGAACTATAGTCTATATGTAGCACAACCTCTCTCTCATCAATCATCATCACGGCAAGGAAAGTGGAAAACTGATTGGGGGTTGCATCAGAGTATAATGATCTCATGTGTTATATACTTGTATAATTTTAATGTATTATAATCGGTTTGTTAGGGACGCTGTGAAACTAAAAAAATAGAACTAGAGATTGGCAGACCTCCCTTAGTTATCTACAGGGACTAAAAAGGTCAACAAATATGTAGTGGTGCTCTTAATAGTGCTGCAATACTAGAAATCACTAAAATTTTGTTTACTCACATTTTCATTCCTACAATACTTTATTAAAAATATTGTAGGAATTTAGAAGTTTTCAGTCTATCTGCAACAACTGCAATATTTCAAATGGAAATTAAAAGCAGATTATTAAATAAAAAAAGAATTGAAAGTAGTTTTAATAAATTTTATGAAAAAAAAATAGAACTAGAATTAGTTGTTAAAATTTGTAAGGACTGTAAATCTGCGATTCGAAGACGAAACAATTTTGATAATGATTATGAAGCATAAAATAGAGAGCTTTCCAGAAATTTAATGGGATATTTTCCCGGCGCCTCCACCATACGACAACACGATAGTACAAAGACAGGTAAGTGTTAAAGTGTTAAAGTATATATCTAAAAAAATTGGTCGGAGATTGTTTCGACAGAACTTGCCTCGCCCCTGAAGTGCGATGAAACATATCCATCATTTTCGAAAAATGATAAAATTTGATTTTGCGAATTTTATTTATTTTTATGCAAAGCCCTATAAGTACATATACGCAAACATACGAACACAGGTAATATTAAAGTAAATTTAAAGAAGCGTGCTACGCGTATGTTTCAAAAGAGCTTTATCTTTACAAGATCTTGTGATGACGTCATCAACATTTTTGCAAGAACACGTATATCAACTTGGATTGGTGCAGTGAATACTAATAATAACAGCCTTGTATTCGCAAATTTTCGGGAAAATCAAGTAAGCCGTTCTTGATTTTATCAATAAAATAAATTGACTCATTCATTAATTTTTTTAATCATCTCTATGAGCAAATCTAAAAAATATGAATGCAGTGATAAATCACAAGTACAGATTTATCATATTTTATGATTTAAGACAGGATTTCTTCGGTAAAAATTTGATGTGACGTCATCAGTTTTTTGGGGGATAAGGGGGGATAAGCAAATGCATTATGATTCAAAAATTTACAATGTTTGTGATAACTTTAATATATTTGCTAAATTTCAAAGCATTCGGTTTTGCAGATTTAAAATTAAATTGCAAAATATTGTTACATCATTTTTCTCCCAAAAATTTGGACATTTCGTATAAAAACTACACATGTAGGACTATGTTATTTTGTACGATTTAAAACCAATTTACTAAGTACAATTTTAATATGACGTCATCACATTGTTGGATTTGTTGGTGGGGATGATTAGAGGAAGTTTAGTGTTTTACCATCTACATGATATTCATAATACGCATATACAATTTGACAACAATCGGTCCGGTAGTTTCGGAGATTATCTGTCTAACAGACGGCGCACAGACAGACCGATAGGCAAACGGAAACGGTAGACCCATTTTTTGTACTGTAGGGGTCATGACCCATCGAAAAAATATGAAAGCAGCCAGTCGCCCGATGGACTTGATTACAATACTTTCTTAACTGACGCTCGGGAAGTAAAAATAGGGCAGATCATTGCGAAGGCATTTCCTCTACATTATTAAGTGTCCCACTAATTTTTTCAACCTATGTAAAATTAATAACACATATAATCAACTTGGGTTATCGCTTTATAATTTATTAACAATAACCATTTTATTTTATTTAGAATGTAAAAGCTGGGCTTATTCGTGAATAAAATTGTATATATGTAAATACTTAAAATGTGTAAATATCCAACACGGTATACCTTTGAGATAACTTTGAAACGTCAAAAAATGTGCAAGAAATCTTCTGAAGCCTTCATGAGAGAAGAAGTACTGTGGCTGAAGTGTGAGTTTTTTGCAAGTGTGAAGTTTCAAAGTGCAGTTCGACCCTCCGACTTCCGTAAGTACCTTTTGGGTCGTCTGCCCGTTTGTGTACCGGTTTTTGAATCGCCCGAGCGAGAAACCGTACCACCGTCACCGGATTTTTTTTTCTCGTCGTGCACGCGTCGTGTACCGCCACTGCGCTCCCCTCCCGGGTGGCCGTAGCGTCTTCGCACGATTTCCAGGTTTCGAAGTCGCCGCCCCCAAGTCCAAAAAGAGCCCGTCCTGAAGGAAGTCGCCGCCCAGGATGAACGACCGTGCCGGACATTTAATTCTTTTCGTTTCTTTTTGTTTGTAAAACCGATCTGTAATTATTTAAGTTGTTTAGCCGTTAGATTTATTATTTTAGAGCGTGTAGCTGGTGGCAGGTAATAAACCCTATTTATTATGTAAAATATCTCTTGCAGTTTTATTTTTATTCTCCTGTTTTCGCGGGGGTTCACCACCTGAATTCCGTGTCTCCGGCTTTAGAGCAAGCCCGGCGCTTCCACCCAAGCCGCTCCTGACCGAGGGCGCCACCCCCGGCAGCGTGAAGGTCGCCGCATAAGCTTAGGTCGGCCAGACGTGTTTGTTATATCAGCGACACTACTCGGCCCAAAGCTTGGCACCCAAGTATGCCGCCATCACACGTTATCGGTGAGATTCCGGACCGTCACCGTCCGTCACACCGGAATTCCGTCGCAGTAGGAACAAAATTCACAATAGCACACAAATTAGATTACATTATTAATACATAAACTTATAGTAGGTACCAATAACATAAAGATCCCTACGTATATAGAAAAACTAGTCAATCACAGACCAATATCAATCAAAATAGGAAAAACTCATTTGAAATCAATAAATTAATTCTCTTTTGCACTGTACGGTTCTGAATGTCCCGCTAAGAACACAGGATAGTAAACAGTGCAATTTAAAGCCTTTAATAAAGGTTTTATATTAACTATGAGAAAAAGATTTGTAACCTTTTTAAGAAAATGCCACGAAGAAGATGACAATTGCGGTTGCTGGTTATGAAAAGCACAATATTTATTACATCAACCATTCTAAATCTTTCCTTCCCTACCTTAGAACAACAGAAAAGTCATGGTATAAGTGGAAATAACAGTTAGATGAAATTGATTAAACAACATCAAGCGTTTGCTGTTAGGAGTCTGTTGTAAAGTCAGACAAACTGTTAATTATTGCTTTGACGATTTTATTGCGCACTGAATTAAGTAAGTTGATTCATGAAAGTCTTTTGCTCTTAAAGTTTTCAGTATAATATTAAAATTTATATTTGTTCGTATTTTTAATTAATACATACATTAATACTGTTTGAAAAAGAAAATATTTGAGGGAAGTTATTTTGACAGATTTTGTTAGTCTTTTATTTGGACTCTCTTGTGTATACAAATGTAGTTATACGTGGTATCAAAGTTGCAAATTTGACAATAGAACTGTATGGCCTCAACTGCTAATCGAGTTAAGTTATTGTAAATCACCAATAAAAGTGTATGTTATGATTACATCAAAGATTGGTGGTTGTTAGTTATGTTTATATTTTGTCCACTGCACAAATAACAGACTTCATGGTTTATTTTTACTGATTTTTGACGCCTAAAATCAGATGAAGACGTAAATACACTCTAGGATCAAATTAGAAGAACTATTTCACTAATTCACGAACAAAGAGTCAACACCATTCCAGTATCAACAGCAAAGGGAATCAAGAAGGAATTTAATAAATATTATCTAATCTATGTACACCGAGACATCTCAAGAACATCTTTTTTTAGCTTATGGTTGTCATCGTTAGTTTGATCTCTGGTTCTCTGGTAAAAGAGCATAAATCATCATCACTGTTGTCCTTTAAGTTTACTGCAGGTTCAGCAAAGGAGAATGATCATTAATCGTTAAAAAAGTACATCAATTTCAACTCTTGATTCCAATTTTGAGAAAATACATTGAGACATAGGAGCAAATCTTAAGACGTTGATCCAAGTTTCAAAAACATGTTTAATACTTACCTTAAAATTGTTTGACAAATGTTTACTGCTAACTTGTTCTTTCGACACTTCACTTCAACAAAAACATTGTTCTAATTGCTATTAGTAAAATAATCTTTTGGTAGTCAAATGTTGATACCGTATTTTTGCTTCATTAAAACTGTCAGAATAGTGATTGATATTTTAGATGTCAGAATTTGACTTTGAAATTGTCAGCGTCAAAATTCGCCAAAAAGAATCAAAACATCACTGAAAAATAACCAATGTTAACCACATCATGAAACATCGTCTCCAAATTGTAAACTATTAAAGTGTTTATAGAAACTGATCATTTTTTATTGCCACGTTATTTAATTTTAAAATTGTTAAAGTGTATGCTCGGTCAAAAAGTTCGTTAAACAATTTACTATCTATTACAAAAGTATACAATATAACACGTTATAAATCAGTCCAATATTCGTATACCGTTAAACTTGAAAATTTGAAAAACGCGATAGCTCAATTTTCTCCTTCATCTCCCCCTTCTTCTTCTTCATCGAATTCGCCTTCTTCTTCGGCGGTAGCGTCTTGGTACTGTTGGTATTCGGCAACCAAATCATTCATATTACTCTCAGCTTCGGTAAACTCCATTTCGTCCATTCCTTCTCCTGTATACCAATGCAAAAAGGCTTTTCTTCTAAACATAGCCGTGAACTGCTCCGAAATGCGCTTAAATAACTCCTGAATGCATGTAGAATTTCCAATAAAAGTAGACGACATCTTCAAACCGCGAGGGGGAATATCGCACACCGCTGTCTTCACATTATTCGGGATCCACTCCACAAAATAGCTGCTATTCTTATTTTGAATGTTCAACATCTGCTCATCGACCTCCTTCATGGACATCCTCCCTCTGAAAATCGCAGCTACCGTCAGATATCTTCCATGGCGAGGATCACAAGCTGCCATCATGTTCTTAGCGTCAAACATTTGCATGACTAGTTCAGGCACTGTCAAAGCTCTGTATTGTTGGCTCCCACGGGACGTCAAAGGCGCAAACCCCGGCATGAAGAAATGCAGACGAGGAAATGGCACCATATTAACAGCCAGTTTCCTCAAATCAGAGTTTAACTGACCCGGGAACCTCAAACAAGTAGTAACTCCAGACATGGTAGCAGACACCAGGTGATTCAAATCACCGTATGTTGGAGTGGTCAGCTTCAGCGTCCTGAAACAAATGTCATAAAGGGCTTCGTTGTCAATACAGTAGGTCTCATCGGTGTTTTCCACTAGTTGATGGACGGACAAGGTCGCGTTGTAGGGCTCTACCACGGTATCAGACACCTTCGGAGACGGTACCACCGAAAACGTATTCATGATTCTGTCAGGGTATTCTTCTCGGATCTTCGATATTAGCAGAGTGCCCAAGCCTGAGCCGGTGCCACCCCCCAGAGAATGGGTCAACTGGAAACCTTGCATGCAGTCGCAACCTTCCGCTTCTTTTCTCACGACGTCCAACACAGAGTCCACCAACTCTGCTCCTTCGGTGTAGTGGCCCTTGGCCCAGTTGTTGCCAGCTCCGCTCTGGCCGAAGACGAAATTATCTGGACGGAAGATCTGTCCGAAAGGTCCCGAACGCACTGAATCCATGGTGCCGGGCTCCAGGTCCACGAGGATGGCTCGGGGTACGTACTTGCCGCCGGTGGCTTCGTTGTAGTATACATTGATTCGCTCCAATTGGAGGTCAGAATCTCCATGGTAGGTTCCTGTGGGGTCGATGCCATGTTCATCTGAGATCACTTCCCAAAACTGCAATGAAACACACACTACATTTGATTAATCGATCGCTAAGACTCTCACCTTTGCTCCTATTTGATTTCCGCATTGACCTGCTTGTATGTGGACTATTTCTCGCATTTTACTTCAACGTTAAACAAATTTATTAAAGAAATACCGAAAATTGGAGTAAACAAATTTGTAACCATGTAGCTCATTACGTTGTTTCAAAACTGCCGCCTCTCTGAATTTTTAAATCTGAGGAGCAGAGGCAGCGCTACCAACTTGAGCGATTTATCGAAAATTGCGCAACTGCAGGGTTTTGGCAATTTCTGACATTTTATTGGGGTCTACACATTTGGAGAAAACACATTTTGAGCGCAGTTTTTTAAACCGTAGTAGATCTAAATGAATTCGGTCGTATCCGCCATGGACAAATGAATGTAAGGACGGGGTGACAGTTCAAATATAAGTGTCCACCCGCCAAAACTCATGAACTCCAGTGGCGTAACTTAATGGTATCCATATGGGACGTCACATCCAATAAAAATAATTTTTTTCAGAAATTCTAAAATTTTCATTTTACTTATAAAATTTTACTTTGTCGTATAATAACCATAATAATAATATATGTACACGTAAGCTTCGGGTTTGGGGTTATGTGGTACATAATTGAATTAAAATTACGCAAAACATATTTATCAAATGTACAAAAACACTTCCCGACGTAACCGTTTGTTAAAAATAGCCAATAGTTTTTATGTCTAGTATAGCATAATGTTGTCAATATTTGTTTGACGTGCCATAGGCTTGTAAAGATGTACAAAGAAGGAAAAATCATAATCTCCAAACAAATAAATCTCTGTCTACAATTTGTTCTAAAGTTTATTCCGGCCATCACTTTAATTACCCTTCTCCCCAACTTAACTATTGAATGCCTTTTGTCTAGAACATAGAGCAACGTTGAAAGAAGTAAAGCAAAATAAGCAGTTTTAATATTTGAAAAAACATCTTTGTGTTAACGGCAGATTTCAAAATTTGGCAATTTTATAATAATCGATGCTATGCACAATGAGCAGTTTTTCTAATAATAATTAGGCGCATACATTAAAAGCAACATCCATAAAAACATGTATACGAATTTATAAAACCGACGAAAAATTTAAAATTTGGCTTTGAACTGTGATCGATGACACCCTATGTTGTATTTTGATGGCGAAATGCTTATTTTTCACATGGATAGTAACAAAAAAGTCCTAGGGAGGAAAAAGCTACGGAATAAGCCTGAGCTCTCTTCAGCTTTCAAAAACCAAATGTTACAAATCGACACAAAAATTTGAACATTACAAATTTAAAAACACAAAAAAGGCTGCTATCATGGTGTGACGACATATAAGAACAAAAAACCAAAGACTGTTTCGGGAGTCCAAATCATAGATCCCGGTTATGGGATAGATGTCTCTGATCAAGGCGATCGAGCTCTCGGCGTAGGTATCCCAGCACGAAGCGGAAGTCAGAAAGATAACGAGACAACTTGCGTTAAAATCTTCCCTACCAACGATGTTAAAACTGACCGATGAACTTCAACTCCTTTCTTTAGTTATCCTTGTTTAAAACAAATCAGAAAATTATCCACGTCGATGTCCGTTTACACAGATGACGGCATTATTTTGAGATTTGTAGTCCCGAAGTTCTGATGATGATTAACAAGATCTTTAAACAACAAAGAATATACATGATGTTAAATTGTGCATTAATTCAAAAGAATGTTTAAATCAAAGTGAGTTCATCGAGATTACATCGCGGACCGATTCACATCCCCACAACACATAAAACAAAGCACATATGAAATAAACACAACAGGCACCTTAAATACGATACCTTCTTGGACACATGTTTCCCAAGATAAGACTGATTTTGGCAAATGACCCACTCTTCTAAGAAAATAAAGGGTGGGTGGGCTGGGCTAGTGCTTGTCAAGATGAGACTGATTTTGGCGAATGACATATCCTCTAAGAAAATAAGGGTGGGTGGGCGAGGCTAGTACCTGCCCAGATGAGTTTGATTTTGGGCATACGACTTATTTTTCTAAAAAAATAAAAAATAAAAAATCGACGAATGGAAAAATCGGATAAATGAGAAATCGGAAAATTATACAACTGTATTTCGAAATTCCAGTTTTCATTTCCTTTTTGGTTTTGAGAATTCTCAACTTTTGAATATTTCATTTGATAATTTAATTGACAATTTTGCATTTTTTAATTCCAATTTTTTGATTTTTCAATTTTTAACTTTACAATTTTGGAATTTTTTGATTTTCAATTTTTCAAGTTCTCAATTTAAAATTTTTCCTTTTCACGATTTGTCAGTTTTCGATTTTTTAACGAAAAGGGCAAATTTATTCGAACCGAAATTTTGAAAAATCGAAAAATCCAAAAATTCAAAATGTAACTGCAAAATCGAAAAATGGAAAAATTGGAAAATTGAAAATTTAAAAAATCGAAAAATTAAAATGTCGAAAAAATGAAGAATCGAAAGATGGGAAAATCCAGAAATTAAAAAATTCCCAAAAATAAAATGTGGCAAAATTATCGAAATCGAAAAAATCGAAAACTGGAACAATTTTAAAAATCGAAAAACCGAGAAGTCAAAAAATCAGAAATATTGAAAAACTGAAAAATCGAGCTTAGAATTTTGTAACGTGGAAATAGTGGTGAAAGCAGCGTTCCGAAATTGCCGTAAATAATTAAAATATTGATTTTTAAAAATGATGAAAAACTTCGCCCAAATATTAAAAAGAAAGTGATAATAAAGTAATAAAGAAAATGTTTTTGCGTTATACAGAGAAAGTTGTGGACATGTTATATCTAAAATGTCATCACAATAAGTCTGTTAATAATAGAAATATTACATTTGGAAAATGCATTGAAAATCCCATGTGCCAAAGGTAGAAACTCATCTTAAATTCTTTTTCTTTTTTTTGTAATTTTTAAATAACTTGTAAATATTGAAATTATAGTTGTATTCATTGTAGTTGCTTGTAGTTTTTTTTTAATTTTCTATTTGAATTGTTTTTGTTGAGAAAAATTTATTTTTAAAGCTTATCTTTAATATTTCTTTACATTAAAATAATGTAATGTGTACTTTTCATAAATACATTTTTAAACATGGTACTGAATAGATGTTGCAGCAACAGTAATAGCCTAAAAGCAAATTGTGTATGAATACACATTCGAGAAGTTTATTAGATTGATATGATAAATTATTGATAACTGAAATTTTAAAATTTGCGTGCATGACTCGCAGAGTTGGCAATCCTGTGCACGGGTAAAGTTGCTATCAACATTACCGACGCCGCAATATAAACAATTTAAATTTTGCAATCTCACTCCCTTTAAATTTACAAACCAAATCTTCCCCAAATTTATTATAACCGATGAGTCATCCGAACGTTTCCAAAACGCATAATCAAACCACATTTTCGGTTAAAAAACGGTTTCAAGTCGGCGTCCGGTGGCGCCCTCTACGAAGATTCCGTTTTGTAAACTTAACCTAAAAAATGTTTTGAATCCATGCATCGGTCCATCGGACAGCGTTAGTTTTGTGGAAACGATGGCCGGTGTACAAATTATTTCAAGTGTATTGTGTCTAGTTTTTATAATTTTGGGTAGCTTTTCTTCAAAAATAAACGTACCGAGGGTTCTTTTGCCCATTTTCAATGACTTTAATATGAAGTTTCTGTTGGAGGCAAATGACGGGGGTTGCTACAAGTGGTATGTGCATGTTTATTTATTTACGTAATGTTTGATTTTCGCTGATATATCACGTTTTTAGGAGCACTATCAGAAACGATCTTATTAAATTGACCGCACTTGATGAAATTCCAGAGTTTCAGTGCTCGGTGAAGGTTGAAGTTGAAACTATGACCAAAGAACGTGTAAGAAACATTGCTGTAGTTCTGGCAGAGGATGTTCAGACTGGCGAGATTTTAAAGTGCGATGTTGTTGTTGACGTGATAAGTTCCTTATCAATTACTACAACAACAAGGGAATTATTTATGGAAGAAGTTCCCGAAGCTTTCCAGTTGAATGCTTATGACGCGCTCGGTAAAATGAATCACTTAGCTGTATAGAGTATGTTACAGATATGTTATCTTACAGGTAATGAGTTTTCTTCTCTGGAGGGAGTAGAATTTAACTGGAATATAATTACACTGGGTAAAAAGAAAGAGGCAGTAGTAGTCAGATATTTGCCTTTTCAAAATTCAACATATGAATCACCTCCTGGTATCCAAGAACTTGAAGACCAGAATAAAAGGGGATCATTTATTTTACTCGAAGGCGTCAAAACTGGATCAGCCAAAGTATTGCTGCACTAAACCCTGTCTTATGAACTATGAAGCTAACCGTTTTTTTTTTTAAGATATCTGTAGAGTTGCCTCATCCTGAGTACAAAGATGTAGTAGCATCTGTAGAAGTAGTTCTAACAGTGATAGCAAATTTACTATTGCTACCTGCAGAAGCAAATTTGATTACTGGAGACACCATATCGTTTAATTTATACCTAGTAAGGTTTTCCATTACTGAGTGTTCAACTAATGTCATTTAATTTTAGATGCGAAATGGCAAACTGGAGAGTATTCCACTACCTGATTCTCAATATTATTTGGAATGTGAAAATACAAACGCAACCCTATGTGATAAATATTCAAATGAAGTCAGTGCTGTGGCTCTAGGAAAAGGTCGCGTTTTATTGAAAAGCACGAGCGTTGATGACGATGTCGCTTTAAAATTACCCACCTCGACCATTTCTGTCGTCCAACCCAGTTACATAGTATTGACAGTTTTACCACACAGAAACTGGGCTATTTTAGTTGGAGACCAGCATGAGATTGTAGCTGAAGTTTTCAGTGGGTAAGAACAATTTTAGTTTACAAGTAGTAAGCAATTTGGTTATTTTATGCTATACATTTAAAAAAATAGTACTTGCTAAGATAACAGTTAAGAATATCTAGTTAACGAGAAAAAGTATTAATATCAGTGTACATATTTAACTTAAAATATAAATATCACTTACCCATAAAAGCCTGTCGGAAAAAGTTTAACTTAGCCCCGCCCACCCACCCGTTTTTTCATTTTTTTTCTGAAGTAAGAAATAAATCTTATAGCAAATAGTACAACACAAAAAATGTACGTTTGGAGTTTTTTTTACTTTTTCGTTACGGCCTAAATTCTGTTAGTTCCCACTTCCACTGTACAGAAGAAAATAGAATTGATACCGCCCACCCACCACGCCTCCTGAATGATTGATGTTATCTGCTTTGAGTGAAACGTGGATCTTATAGTGAACAGAAATAAAATTAGTCGTTAGAATCAGGAGAAGGTGGGTGGGCGGGGCTAGTACTTTCTAGGATAAGACTTAAGGCGGTATCACTCGGCCTAGTCTGGGACAGTTTTCATCCTATATTTTTAATTTCAAGTTCTACTCGTTTTGTATAACTCTCCAAGTTTCGATTTTCTCGTCATTTTGTCAAAATAGAAAATATTGGTGGAATTAAAAAAAAATTAGCACAACACATTCAAAATTATTCGAAAGCTGTCGGTGTTTTATTTTTGATACTCTATGTAAATTGCCGAATTATAAAAAAATGGTCTAAAGTTATTTAGACAGCACTTTCCTCGCTCTTGAAGTCCGGTATAACGTATTCAGTTTTGTCTGATAATTGTAAGATTCGATTTAGAGATTTTTTTTTGCTGATAACGCAGTAAAGAGATCCATTCTTTATTTCCTTTATTTTTTTGTTGTTTCTTTCGATTTACAATTTTTATTTATTCAATTTTTCAAATTTTCAGGCTTTGATTTTTCAATTCCATGATTTTCCACGTTCAAAATTTTTCAATTTGCAGTTTTTGGATTTCCAGTCTTCCAATTTTTCAATTTCTTTAATTTTCAATATTTTGATTTTACAATGCATATTTCTCTTTTTTTTTTATTTTTCACTTTTTCGAATTTTAAGTTTTTCAATGTTTAATCTTGCGGTTTTTCAAATTTTCGGTTCTTCAAATTTTCATGTTTGATTTTCACTTTTGACATTTTTCAAATTTTCATTATATACTTTTTCGTTTTTTTATTTTTGATTTTTCAATTTGATAGTTTCTTGACTTCTAAATTTTGCAATTTTTCGAGTTCCAATTTTTTAATTTTGCAATTTTTCGATATTACAGTTTCTCATTTTTCGATTTTTCACACTCTCAGTTTTTAATTTTTGTCATTTAAAATTTTTCGTTTCCTCAATTTTTCAAGTTCTTGATTTTTATTTTTCATTTTCCCGATTTTTTTAATTTTCATTTTCTCGGTTTTATGTCACAAATTTTCATTTTTTCAATTCCTTTATTTCTCGTTGTTTCTTTCGATTTTTCAATTTTTCGAATTTTCCGTTTCTCAATTGATTTTTCGTTTCCACAATTTTTCATGTTCCCGATTTTTATTTTTCGATGTGGCGAATTTTTAATTTTTATTTTCTTGATTTATATCACAATTGTCCGTTTTTTCATTTCTTTAATTTTCAATATTTCTATTTCATAATACATATTTCTTTTTTTTTCTTTTTTTGATTTTTCACTTTTTCGATTTTTAAGATTTTTCAAGTTTTCATTTTCTAATTTTTCGTTGTTTTTTTTAATTTTTCAATTTTACAATTTCTCGACTTCCAAAATTTTAGTTTTTCGTTCTTTGAATTTTTCGGTTTACATCAGTTTTTCAATTTGGTAATTTTTAATTTTTTCCTTTTTCAATTTTTCGTTTCCTCAATTTTTCAACTCCCCGATTTTTATTTTGCATTTTCCTGATTTTTTACTTTTCATTTTCTCGATTTTATATCACAGTTTTTTGTTTTTTCATTTCCTTAATTTTTGTTGTTTCTTTCGATTTTCAAATTTTTCGTTTATCAATTTTTCAAATTTTCAGGCCGATCTATGCTAATTCGTCGTTTTTCCAATGTTTATATTTTTCAGTTTGCAGTTTTTGGATTTCCACCCCTTTTTTACTTTTTGGATTTTCAATTCTTCGTTAAACTTTAGATTTTTCAAATTTTCGACAGTTTTATACTTCGATTTTTCAATGTTTTTTTCAACTTGTCGATGTTTTAATTTTTCTTTTGCTTAAAATTTTTCAACTTCTTTTATTTCCTCAATTTTTCGATTTATCGAATTCAGATGTTTGGATATTTTGATTGTTCAATTTCTCCATTTTTTTCTATTTCTCGATGTTTCGACTTTTGGATTTCTCGGTTTTTCGATTTTCCGATTTTTCGATGTTTCTATTTTTAGGTTATTCGATTTTTCAATTTTGGAGTTTCTATTTGTCGATTTTTAAGTTTTAGATTTTCGAATTTTTCTTTTTTGATTCTTTGATATTATATTTTTCAATTTTGCGATATTTCAATTGTTCAATGTTTTGAATTTTAGATTTTTAGATTTCTGGATTTTTTCATTTTCCAGTTCTTCAGTATTTCTATTTTACGATATTTCAAATTTTGACGTTGCTAAATTTTCAGTTTTCCGATTTTTCAATTAATTAATTTATTTTTTATATTCCCGTTTCTCGAATTCGCAGTTTCGATTTTTCAGTTCTTCAATTCTTCGATTTTTGGATTTTTCGGTTGGCTAATTTTTTAATTTCTCAATTTTGGATATTTGTTTCAGTTTTGGGGTTTTTCAATATTTCTATTTTTCGACTTTTCGATTTTTTATTTTTTGGATTTTCAGTTTTACGTTCTTTAAACTTAAGATTTTTCAATTTTCTACTGTTTTATATATATTTCGATTTTAGAATTTTTCAGTTCTTGTATGTTTTAATTTTCTTTTTCCGAATTTTTTATTTTTCGATTTTTCAATTTTTTGAGAACTCGATTTATCGAGATTCCGATGTTTCGATGTTTTGATTGTCTCAGTTTTTGAATGTTTCGATGTTTCGATTTTTCGTTTGTTTGCTTTTCGGCGTTTCGATTTTTGAATTAACCGATTTTTCAATTTTCCAATTTTTTAAATTTTCAAGTTTTGACGTTTCTGAATTTTCAATTTTCCGATTTCTCAATTAATCTATTTTTTGACTTTCCCATTTTCGACTTGCCAAGGTTTCGATTTTTCAGTCTCCAGATTTTCCAATTTTTCGACATTTCAATTTTGGAATTTTTCGATTTCTCGCTTTCTCAGTTTTTGCCAATTTTTGAATGTTGGATTTTCGACTTTTCGATTTTTTGATATTACGAGCTTTTGATGTTTCGATTCTTGACATCTCAGGTTTTCAAAATGTTTCGTCTTTGCGACTTTTGGATTTCTCGATTTTTCGAGTTTCCGATTTCTCAATTTTTCAACATTTGAATTTTGAGAATTTTTCAATTTCTGTATTTTTCAAGTTTTCCATATTTCATTGTTGGGTTTTCCCAATTTTTAGATGTCTTGATTTTAAAGTTTTTCAATCGTTAACCTCTTCAATTTTCTAATTTTTGCCGCCTAAATTTTCATCGATTTCTCAATTTTTCGATCAATCGATTTTTTTCCCATTTCTAGATTTCTCGACTTTCCAATGTTTCGAATTTTTAGGTTTTCGATTCTTCAATTGCTCGATTTTTTCTTAAACTGTGATTTTTGATTTCACAATTTTTTGATTTTTCGATTTCTCGATTTTTCAATTTTTCCAATTTTTAAATTTTACATTTTTCAGGTTCTTAATGGATCGGTTTCTCAATCTCTCGTTTTTTCGACTTTCCGGTTTTTCGTTTTTTTAATTGTTTGATTCATGAATTATCGATTTTTTTAATTCTGATTTTATCAATTTTTCAATATTTCGAATTTGTCCATTTCGATTTCTCAATTTTTCGACTTTTCGACTTCTGAAAGTTTGATTTACCGAGTTTTCATCAAAATTTTCAGTTTTGAAATTTTTTTACTTTTCATTTTGGCCATTTCGGTTTCTCAATTTTTCCATTTTCGATTTCTCTGATTTTCGATTTTTCGATGTCCCAATTTTTCGTCATTTGAATTTTGGAATTTTTCAATTTCGCAATTGCTCTATTTCTCGGATTTTCAAAATTTGTTATCTTTTCGACTTTTGGATTTCCAGATTTTTCAAGTTTCCGATGTCTCAATTTTTCAACAATCAATTTTTGAATTTTTCGATTTCTCGATTTTTCATCAGTGTTTCGATTATTATCCTATTTTGCGATTTTTCAGCTTTTGCTAATTTTTGAATGTTGGATTTTCGACTTTTCGATTTTCAATTTTTCGATTTTTTGATATTACGAGCTTTTTATGTTTCGATTTCTGGACATTTCAGGTTTTCAAAATTTTTCGTTTTTGCGACTTTTGGATTTCTCGATTTTTCGAGTTTCCGATTTCTCAGTTTTTCAACATTTCAATTTTGAGAATTTTTCGATTTCTGTATTTTTCAATGTTTCCATATTTCACTGTTGGGATTTCCCAATTTTTAGATGTCTTGACTTTAAAGTTTTTCAATCATTAATCTCATCAAATTTTTTAATTTTCCAATTTTTGCCGCCTAAATTTTCATCGATTTCTCAATTTTTCGATGAATCGATTTTTTCCCTTTTCTCGATTTTTCGACTTTCTAATGTTTGGAATTTTTAGGTTTTCGATTCTTCAATTGTTCGATTTTTTAAAATTGCCATTTTTGATTTCTCAATTTTTTCATTTTTCGATTTCTGGGTTTTTCAATTTTTTAGTAATTTATTTTTCAATTTTTCCAATTTTTAAATTTTACATATTTCAGATTCTTAACGGATCGGTTTCTCAATCACTCGTTTTTTCGACTAATTTTTCGGTTTTTCAAATTTGTCCATTTCGTTTTCTCAATTTGTCGATTTTCGATTTTCATCAAAATTTTCAGTTTTGATTTTTTTTTACTTTTCATTTTGGCCATTTCGGTTTCTCAATTTTTCCATTTTCGATTTCTCTGATTTTCGATTTTTCAGTGTCCCAATTGAATTTTGGAATTTTTCAATTTCTCCTTTTTTTATCAGTTTTTCGATTATCCTATTTTCCGATTTTTTAGTTTTTGCTAATTTTTGAATATTGGATTTTTGACTTTGCGACTTTTGGATTTCTCGATTTTTATTATTCCAGAGATTATTAGGTATTTTCATTCCGCAATAAAACCAAACCAAAGTGAGTTTCACTGAGTAATCAATGCCCAAAGTAACGATTATAAATAACGATTACTTTTTTAAAAAGTAACTAATACATACGAGTACACCAAAGAAACAATAGTTCGCATCTCTACCGCCCACCCACCTGTTCTCCCATTTTTCTTTTGAAGTAAGAAATAAATCTTATAGCAAATAGTACAACACAAAAAAATACGATTCGCGTTTTTTTTTTTACGGTCTAGACTATTAGTTTCCACTTCCACTCCACAGCAGAAAATATATTTATTCCCGGCCACCCACCACGCCTCCATTTGAATGATTGATGTTATTTGCTTTGAGTGAAAGCTGGATCTTATACTGAACAGAAACAAAATTGGTCGTTAAAATAAGAAGAGGGCGGGTGGGCGCGGCTAGTACTTGCTAGATTAAGATTTAAGTATATATTTAACGTACGTAACCAACGAGAAAATTACTAATATCAGTGTACTGGCTTAACTTAAGTATCAATACTGCTTGCCAATAAGAGACTGTTGGAAAAAGTTAAACTTAGCCCCGCCCCCCCGCCCGTTCTCCCATTTTTCTTCTGAAGTGAGACATAAATCTTATAGCAAATAGTACAACATAAAAAAAATTACGATTCGCGTTTTTTACGGCCTAAACAAACATCGTCTGATTATCCCCACTAATAATGTCATGACGTCACCTCAAAATGTTGCTTAGTCAAAAATATACATATATAAAATGTATCCATTTATCCACTCCCAAAATTGATAACATTTCAAAATTTTGCCGAATAACCCACATTTGTGATAAAATGACATTTTTAGTCGGTTGTTCGGATGTCTTCAAGGTAGTTTTATATAACAATATATGTATTCAGTATCTAGAGGTCAAAAAAGTGTTTAGTTTTCCAACTGGTAAATATGGACCAGAATTATTATTCTTTTTTCTCGTTTTTTCAGCAATTATTTTATTTTTATGTTATGTTTAGCGATGATGTCAAACTTCATTTGGGCTCTGGCATCGCAATGTCAACGCAAGTAGGTGACGGTTTCCATGTCGAAGAACGAAGTCTGAATGGAAGCTGGATCTCAGGTTGGGGTCTTAAAGAGAGCAGAACCATAGTGTCTGCCAAACTTGAATCCGTAGTACATCCTAAACTCGGAGAATTCAAATTTGAAAATCCTATTATATCTCAAGGTGAACTTTACATCTATCCTCGCATCACGATTTCACCAGCTGAAGTTATCTTACCCTGGGATAGTCAGATCAAACCGAGGCAAGTAAATAATAACAGCTAGTCTATAAGTAACTTTGGGTGATCGAAAAAAAAAAATAATATCACATCTTCGTTTAGGTATGACATTGACCTAGAAGCCCACGGTGGCGACGGCCGATTTTTATGGTCAAGCACCGACCATTCCATCGGTTTAGTCAGTCAAACGGGCCACGTCCGTACCCTCACTCAAGGCTTCTTCTCAGTTTCGGCGGCAATGACACGCAACCATCACAACCGACAGTACTGCAAATTTTCAATTTTGCCACCTGTGCGTTTGGAGATTGTCGAGTTTATAATGGAAGCAGAAGTTATGGAACCCATTTACATCCACGTTGCATTATACGCCTTGAAAGTAACCAACGAAGATGCTACTAGTACCTATGTGCCATTTACGCAGTGTCAAGCGCTACCATTCCAAGTGAGACAAACAGACAGTAAATTTATTTACAACAAGACTGCAACGCTGCCACCCGTTGGCATTTCTTGTGGCAACATAGCGATGGTCGGGACGGCTGTGGGGACGACGAAAGTTACAGTTACTTATTATCAGGATAATCTGCTTCTGGAAGATTCCGTTACTATTAGTGCATACTTTCCGCTCAAGTTGATTTCGCCTGGTCCTAGACATCCGGTTGTATTGGCCGTCGGAAGTAGTGTGCACTTGGTGTTTTCTGGCGGACCACGGCCACAAATAGGCCGTCAGTCTCATCATCAGAGGATTATTGTTGTGGAAAATGAGGGCATCGTGCAGGCTGAAGATGTTACGGAACACAACTCCGTGCCTTTGGAGGATATTACGATTCTTTGGGTGTTGTGTCGGAAGTTGGGAGAAACTTACGTGAAGTTGACTATAAGTAATACGCCGTCGTTGCCCAATTGTAAGAGCCATGGAAGCACTGTGGTTATTAAGGTGAGTACGCTTTAGATGATTGAAACTGGACAGGATGTAAAAATACGAGATATATCACTCAAACTTCAGTCCAGGGGACCTCCATATTTATATTCATATGTAGTGTGCAGTGTGCAAAATACAAGATAACTAATTACTTTCTGAACTAGTTTCCGTAAGTTCTAAAATTTAAAAAGGATACGCCGTTCTGCTATAATAAAATCTAGAATACGATCAAAATCACGCTAATATTACATCTGATTTTGCCAACCACATGAATATAATTCACCTTAAAATAAGTTACAGACAGTGTTTGAAATGTTTATTATATTTCGAAAACAAAATTAAATAAATAAATAAACTTCAGAATTTTAGTTTAAAAATAATCATGTTTGAAGCTTTATTTTGTTTGCTCCATTTTATTGGGTGTAATTGGACTTTACAAGGAATAAGTGAACAACGTTCTTGAACATCTTAACGATTTAATACATAATGTTCCCGAATGACAAAATTTATTCTATATAAATTGTATTATCAAATGGTAAAACACTCACCAAAATTCGTCACTAACAATGAATTGACGCAATCTCCAAATTTTACAATAGTAGATGTAATTTAAATTTTTTATCCTCCCTTTACGGTTTATGCATCCGTGTTGAGTTTTCACCTTAGACGTCAAGATTTTTGGAAAAAAATCAACATTTTCCGATTTATAATGTTAATTAAATGTTAAAAAGTAGCATAGTTTTGAAGTTGTGATTTATAAATACGCTATTAAGATTTTTTGGCTTTTCCATTTCTCGATTTTTCAACTTTAGATGTCTCAATTTTTCAATATTTCAATTTTGGGCTTCTTCAATTTTTCCATTCTTCAAATTTTCGACTTCTTGATTTTTTATTTTTCGATTTTTCAATTTTCCGACGTTTGAATGATTCGATTTCTCAATTTTTTCTTCTTCAATTTTACGGTTTTTAAATATTTCGATTTTTCAATTTTCCAAATTTTCACATTTCTAAATTTTCAGTTTTCCGATTTCTGAAGTATTTTTTTATTCTTCGACTTACTAAAGTTTCGATTTTTCAATTCTTCAATTTTTCGATTTTTTAAGCTTACGATTTTTCGACTTTGCTTTTTTAGTTTTTCGACTTCTCAATTTTTGGATATTTCTTTCATTTCTGAGATTTTTCAATATTTTGATATTTCGACTTTTCGATTTTTAGGTTGCTGTATTTTTTTTGATTTCTCGATTTTTTTACTTTTTGGATTTTCAATTTATTGTTAAGCTTTAGATTTTTCAATTTTTCGACTGTTTCATACTCGATTTCTTAGTTTTTCAACTTTTCGATGCTCTAATATTTCAATTTTTCGAATTTTTAAATTTTCGATTTTCCAGTTTTTCTTTTTTAAAATTTGCCGATTTTTAATTTTTTGATTTCTTGATTTATCGAATTCAAATGTTTCGTTGTTTTGATTGTTTAATTTCTCGATTTATCAATTTTTCAATTTTTAACTTTTCTTTTCGGCTTCCGACTCCTCAATTTCTCGATCCTCTGATTTTTCGATTTCTCGATGTCTCAGTTTTTTAATTTTTCGATGTTTCGATTTTTGCATTTCTCGGTTTTTCGATTTTTTACTTTTAAATTTTCCAATTTTTAGTTTTTGATTTTTTGATGTTTGGATTCTTCAATTTTGCGATATTTTAATTGTTCAATGTTTTAAATTTTAAATTTTTCGATTTCTCGATTTTCTTATTTTTCAGTTCTTCAGTATTTCTATTTTTTAAGTTTTCAAATTTTGACGTTGCTAAATTTTCAGTTTTCCGATTTTTCAATTAATTTATTTTGGATTTTCCCACTCCTCAAAGTTGATTTTTCAGTTCTTCCATTTTTCGATTTTTCGAATTCGCTTTATTGGTTTTTCGATTTCTCAATCTTCCAATTTTTTCATTCCTCAATTTTTGGATATTTCTTTCAGTTTTGAGATTTTTCAATATTTCAATTCTTCGATTTTTCGACTTCTGGATTTTTCGATTTTTTATTTTTGGATTTTCAGTTTTTCGTTTTTTAAACTTTAGATTTTGCAGTTTTTCGATTGTTTTATATTTCGAGTTCTGAATTTTTCAACTTTTCCATATTTGATTTTTTTTTTATTTCTCGAGTTTCCAGTTATCTATATTTTAATTTTTCACAATTTTCTGAATTTTGAAATTTTCGATTTTTCAATTTTTTGAGATCTCGATTTATCGAGATTCGGATGTTTCGATGTTTTGATGGTTCAATGTCCCGATTTATCAATTTTTCCATTTTTAACCTTTCGATTTTTCGATTTCTCGATTTTTTAATCTTTTAATTTTTCGATTCTCGATGTCTCAGTTTTTGAACAATGTTTCGATTTGTCGGTTTTTCGATTTTTTACTTTTCGGTTTCTCGATTTTTCGATGTTTCGATTTATTAATTTTCCAGTTTTTTAAATTTTCGAGTTTGGATTTCCCGATTCGTTGATTTTTCAGTTTTTCGATTTTTAAATTTTAGATTTTCGAATTTTTATTTTTTTGATTTTTTGATGGTTGGATTTCTCCATTTTTCAATTTTACGACATTTTAATTTTTCACTGTTTTAAATTGTGGACTTTTCGTTTTTTCAGTTCTTCAATATTTTTTGATTTTTAACCTTTCGATTTTGGCCTATTTCGGTTTCTCAATTTTTCGATTTTCCGACTTCTCAATTTTTCGAACCCGTCGATTTTTCTATTTCTCGATGTTTCAGTTTTTGAATTTTATGATGTTTCGATTTGTCGGTTTTTCGATTTTGTACTCTTCAGTTTCTCGATTTTTCGATCTTTCGATTTTTAAATTATCCGATTTTTTAATTTTCCAATTTTTTAAATTTTCGAGTTTCGAATTTTTATTTTTTTGATTTTTTTGATATTTGGATTTCTCCATTTTTCAATTTTACGATATTTTAGTTTTTCACTGTTTTAAATTGTAATTTTTCGATTTTTCAGATTTTGACGTTTCTGGATTTTCAGTTTTCGGATTTCTCAAGTAATCTATTTTTTTATTTTCCCATTTCTCCACTTCAGAATGTTTCGATTTTTTAGTTTGCGATTTTTCGACTTTGCTTTTTTGACATTTCGGTTTCTCAATTTTTTAATTTCCTAATTTTTGGATATTTCGTTCAATTTTGTGATTTTTCAGTTTTTCGATTCTTCGATTTTTCTTCTACTTTTCCATTTTTCGATATTTGGGTTTTGGGATTTTTTAGTATTTCGACTTTTCGAATTCTGGATTTTTCGATTTTTCGACTTTTTACATTTTAGATTTTCAATTTTCCGTTTTTCAAACTTTAGATTTTTCAATTTTTAAACTGTTTTATCATTCGATTTCTCGAGTTTTCAGTTCTTCTATATTTCAATTTTTCAATTTTCGGAATTTTTAAATTTTCGACTTTCCAATTTTTTTAGTTTTTCGATTTTCCAATTTTTCGATGTGCGATTGTTCAATTTCTAAATTTTTAAATTTTAGATTTTCCAATTTTAATTTTTTTTATTTTTTCATGTTTGGATTTCTCGATTTTACAATTTTCCTATACATATTTGAATTTTTCAATGTTTAAATTTTCGATTTCTCGGTTTTTCAATTTTTCAAATTTTCACGTTTCTAAATTTTCAGTTTTCCTATTTCTGAAGTATTTTTTTTTATTTTTCCATTTCTCGACTTCCTAAAGTTTCGATTTTTCGCTTCTTCAATTCATCAATTTTTCGATTTTTTAAGCTTACGTATTTTCGACTTTGCTTTTTTAGTTTTTCTATTTCTCGGTTTTTCAATTTTTTAATTTCTCAATTTTTTGGATAATTCTTTCAGTTATTCGATTTTTGCATTTTTGATTTTTTTTTTTGATTTCTCAATTTTTGCTTTTTGGATTTTCAATTAATTGTTAAACTTTACATTTTTCAATTTTTCGACTGTTTTATATTTCGATTTCTCAATTTTTCAACTTTTCGATATTTTAATATTTCAGTTTTTAAAATTCTAGGTTTTTCAATATCTCGAGTTTTCAGTTCTATATTTCAATTTTTCGAATTTTTAAATTTTCGATTTTCCAGTTTTTCTTTTTAAAATTTTTATATTTGTCAACTTTTTGATTTCTTGTTTTATCGAATTCAGATGTTTCGTTGTTTTGATTGTTTCATTTCTCGATTTATCAATTTTTCGATTTCTCGATGTCTCAGCTTTTTAATTTTGCGATGTTTTTGGATTACTCGGTTTTTCGATGTTTCAATGTTTAGATTTTTTAGTTATCCGATTTTTCAGTTTTTTAAATTCGGGAATTTCGATTTGTCGATTTTTAAGTTTTTCGATTTTTAAATTTTCGAATTTTCATTTTTTGATTTTTTGATGTTTGGATTTCTCGATTCTTCAATTTTGCGATATTTTAATTGTGCAATGTTTTAAATTTTAGATTTTTCGATTTCTCGATTTTTTTATTTTTCATTTCGTCAGTATTTCTATTTTTTAATTTTTCAAATTTTGACGTTGCTAAATTTTCATTTTTCGGATTTCTTAATTAATCTATTTTTGATTTCCCCACTTCTCAGTTTCAATTTTTCAGTTCTTCAATTCTTAGATTTTTCGACTTCGCTTTATTGGTTCTTCGATTTCTCAATTTTCCAATTTTTTAATTCCTCAATTTTTGGATATTTCTGTCAGTTTTGAGATTTTTCAATATTTCGATTCTTCGATTTTTGAATTTCCAGTTTTTCGTTTTTTAAACTCTCGATTTCTCAATTTTTCAACTTTTCCATATTTTATTTTTTTTTAATTTGTAGATTTTTCGATTTCTCGAGTTTCCAGTTCTATATTTTAATTTTTCAATTTTCCGAACTTTTCAATTTTCGATTTTTCAATTTTTTGAGATCTCGATTTATGGAGATTCGGATATTTCGATGTTTTGATTGTTCAATCTCTCGATTTATCAGTTTTTTGATTTTTCGATTTCTCGATTTTTCAATATTTTAATTTTTCAATTTCTCGATGTTTCAATTTTTGAACGATGTTTCGATTTGTCGGTTTTTCTATTTTTTACTTTTCGGTTTCTCGATTTTTAAATTTTAGATTTTCGAATTTTTATTTTTTAATGTTTGGATTTCTCCATTTTTCAATTTTACGATATTTTAATTTTTCAATATTTTAAATTTTAAATTTCTCGATTTTTCAGTTCTGCAATATTTTTTCATTTCTCCACTTCCCAAAGTTTCGATCTTTCAGTTCTTCAATTTTTCAGATTTTTGATTTTTTAATTTTTCGATTTTTTAAGTTTGTTTTTTTGCCTTTTCGGTTTCTCGATTTTTTAATTTCATAATTTTTGCGTTCAATTTTGTGATTTTTCGTTTTTCGATTCTTCCATTTTTCAATTTTTCGATATTTGGAATTTGGTATTTTTTAGTATTTCTACTTTTCGATTTCTCGACTTTTTACTTTTTGGTTTTTCCATTTTCCGTTTTTTAAACTTTAGATTGTTCGATATTTTAACTTTTTCAATTTTCTTTTAATTGGTGCTTCTGCAGATAATTTGCGGAAAACCGAGGCGCCTCCACATTCAACCAGAAGTAAAAGTAAACGATGCAAAGTCTTGTCCTATGGATTTGAGCGCCGATCGCGTCGTCATTCCCAACAATCAAGATGTCGAATTGGACGTCGTAGTCATCGATGAACTAGGTCGACCTTTTCTGAACGCCAGCAGCCTACTCTTTGCCTGGGAATCTAGACCTCCCGGTGAAGTCAAATTTCATAATTTCGATAGTCTCATATCAAAACACGAAATGTTTGGTACCGTACCCTTGATCAATAAAACCCAGCAGATCATACGCCCCTATTTGGAGTCAGGTTTGCTCGAGATCACCGGCACCATCCTAGGTAAAAATATCTCCACCAAAAATCCCCATTTCTTCATAACAATATTATAGGTTACAAGATGAATGTGTTAAAAGTCCACCACATAACACCCGAATGGCCCGAATTCTTAACCTCAAACGAACGAGTAGAAGAGGGTCCAAAGATAAGTGCCACGATAGGACTATTTTTAGTCGACGATACTGTAGTGAGACCGAATATGACACTTATATTTAATCAACCAAACGCAAAAAAACAGATTGCCGTTATGCACGGTTCAGGATACATAGAGCTGTCGTTAAGTACTGACGAAGTTGCCACTGTCAACTACGTAGAAGGAACTAGAATGATCGAAATCGTACCCATTACGTCCGGAGAATTAAATATTCAAGTCGTTGATTTGTGTTTAGTGGCCAATCCAATTTTTATTTTTATTCGAGTGGTTTCTCTGGGAAAAATCGATGTTGAAACACCGGGAAAAGTGGAGATCAATCACTGCATTGAGGTTATCGTGAAGATGTATGACGAGCAGGAACAACTGTTGGATGTTCACGATATGGGTTATGTCGATTTGCGGCATCGGTTTACTAAGGGTGTAGCCAATTTAGGAAGGATGCCTCAGAATGCGGACGAGCCTTGGCCTTTAGGAGAAATCCACTTTGTTTTAACAGGTAAGAACAAATTCCAAAGGTTTTTTATTTATTAATTTATATTTTCGTTAACTACCTAAATTCCTATAGGTGTGGAGGTCGGCGACGCTCAGTTGACTTTCACGTTCGACAATAAAGACCAAGTAGTCAGCAGTGAACCAGTCGACATCCAGGTATTTCCGCCCCTTAGGGTAAACCCTCGCAATGGGACAATGCTTGTCGGTTCCACGCTTCAGTTGACACTACAAGGTGGACCACAACCTGACAACACTATCGAATATGAGCCACATTCTAACAGCACAGTCTGTAAGAAAGACAATTAGCTACCCAATTCACGCTATTTCATGTATATTATTTTTTTATAGCCGTCACTGATGTGGGTATTGTCGTTGGAAAAACTTACGGTGTGACTAGGATCACAGTAAGATCGATCGGAATACATATCAAGTCTGGCGAAAAAATCATTTTTGCTGAAGACACTATTGATGTCAATGTCATTCAAATGACAGGGATTAAAATCGCCGCTCCTTTAACGAAATTCAAAAGTGGGGGTGTAATCGCGGCTTGGGTCACGGGAATACCAGAAACTATTTCTCCGTTAGTTTTGTCTAGCTTTGAAGATACGTCTTTGAGTTATGAGTGGTTTTTCTCTGACTATGATGCAGCCACTTTTATTGGTATATTTGCTTCTGTGGGTAAGTAGTGCGATACCAGTGATTATGTATTTAAAAAGACCGGCAACCCCGTATCCCTATGCGTACCAGTGAGTTAATATTCGCGGGCAGAGGGCGCCCCAAAATGCGACAAAAGCGCTCTAACCTTCAATGGTTATTACTAATACCATTTTACGGGTTGTTGTCTGAGCTTGTACAAATGAATACTTTTCGGCAATTATTTTCATTCAAGTGTTCAATTTTCATACAAAATATATAAACCTCTAACTGGAATTAGCGATAACAATTTTTGATAAGTCGTCGCCTGAGAACTTGTTTGATCCACAGACCGGAGCGCGCTCAGGCCAATATCGACTCTCAGCGTTCAGAACTGATTTTTTCATTGAAAAGTTCCCAAAACTGATAATATTGAAAAATTGAAAAATCGAGAAATGTATACATCGATAAGTTGAAAAATTTTAAAAGTCGAAAAACCAAGATGGCAAAATTAAAATTTGAAAAATTCAAATATCGATAAATTGTAAAATCAAGAAGTCCAAACATGAAGAAATTAAAAAAAATAAAAATTTAAACACCGAGAAATTGAACAATCGGATAATTGAAAAATTGAAAAGTTAAAATACCGAAAAGTTGAAAAATTGAGAAATCCAAGCATAAACAATTAAAAAAAAATGAAAGTTTAAAAAACGGAAAATTGAAAATCCAAAAGCAAAAAGTCGAGAAATCGAAAAATCCAGAACTCGAAAAGTCGAAATACTAAAAAATTCCAAACCCCAAATATCGAAAAATTGAAAAATAGAAGAATCGAAAAACGGAACGGAATTTTCAGTTTTCGGATTTCTCAATTAATCTATTTTTTTATTTTCCAATTTCTCCACTTCTCAAAGTTACGATCTTTCAGTTCTTCAATTTTTCGATTTCTCGATATTTTTATTTTTCAGTTCTTCAGTATTTCTATTTTTTAATTTTTCAAATTTTGACGTTGCTAAATTTTCAGTTTTCGGATTTCTTAATTATTCTATTTTCGGTTTTCCCACTTCTCAGAAGTTTTGATTTTTCTTCGATTTTACGATTTCGCTTTATTGGTTTTTCGATTTCTCAATTTTTCAATTTTTTAATTCCTCAATTTTTGGATATTTTTTTCAGTTTTGAGATTTTTCAATATTTCGATTTTTCGACTTCAGGATTTATCGATTTTTTATTTTTGGATTTGCAATTTTTCGTTTTTTAAACTTTGGTTTTTTCAATTTTTCGATTGTTTTATATTTCGATTTTTCAATTTTCCGAATTTTTAAATTTTCGATTTTTCAGTTTTTTGAGATCTCGATTTATCGAGACTCGGATGTTTCGATGTTTTACTTTTTCAATCTCTCTATTTATCAGTTTTTCTAAATTTTAACTTTTCGATTTTGGCCTATTTCGGTTTTTCAATTTTTCGATTTTCCGACTTCTCAATTTTTTGACCCCGTTTGATTTTTTCTTGATGTTTCAGTTTTTGAATTTTACGATGTTTAGATTTTTCGATTTTGTACTTTTCGGTTTCTCGATTTTTCCATCTTTCGATTTTTGAATTATCCGTTTTTTTATTCTCCAATTTTTTAAATTTTCGAGTTTCGATTTCTCGATTCGTTGATTTTTCAGTTTTTCGATTTTTAAATTTTAGATTTTCGAATTTGTATTTTTTTGATTTCTCAATTTTTCACTTCTTCAATATTTTTTGATTTTTCAAATTTTGACGTTTCTGAATTTTCAGTTTTCGAATTTCTCAATTAATTGTCTATTTTTTTATTTTCCCATTTCACCACTTCACAAAGTTTCGATTTTTTAGGTTTGCGATTTTTCGACTTTGCTTTTTTGACATTTCAAAATTTAAAACATTAAAAAGTTAAAATATCGTAAAATTGAAAAACGGAGAAATCCAAACATCAAAAAAATAAAAATTCGACAATCTAAAATTTAAAAATCGTAAAACTGAAAAATCAATGAATCGAAAAATGGAAACTCGAAAATTTAAAAAATTGGAAAATTAAAAATTCGAAACATTGAAAAATTAAGATATAGAACTGGAAACTCGAGGAATCGAAAAATTTAGAAATTTAAAAATTGAAAAATTAAAATATGGAAAAGTTGAAAAATTGAGAAATCGAAAGTTTAAAAAACAACAATCACAAAATTGAACGAAATATCCAAAAATTAGGAAATTAAAAAATTGAGAAACTGAAAAGTCAAAAAAACAAAGTTGAAAATTCGCAAACTTAAAAAATCGCAAAATTGAACAATCAAAAACCTGAAAAATCGAAAAATTGAAGAACTGAAAGATCGAAACTTTGGGAAGTGGAAAAATGGGAAAATAAAAAAATAGATTAATTGAGAAATCCGAAAACTGAAAATTCAGAAACGCCAAAATTTGAAAAATTAAAAAATAGAAGTATTGAAGAACTGAAAAACCGAAAAATCTAAAATTTAAAACATTAAAAAGTTAAAATATCGTAAAATTGAAAAAAGGAAAAATCCAAACATCAAAAAAATAAAAATTCGAAAATCTAAAATTTAAAAATCGAAAAACTGAAAAATCAATGAATCGAGAAATCGAAACTCGAAAATTTAAAAAATTGGAAAATTAAAAATTCGAAACATCGAAAAATTGAGAAACCAAAAAGTAAAAAATCGAAAAACCGACAATTCTAAAAATCTTAAAATTCAAAAACTGAGACATCGAGAAATCAAAAAATCAAAAGATTGAAAAATCGAGAAGTCGAAAAATTGAAAAAACGAAATAGGCCAAAATCGAAAAATCTAAAGGTTAAAAATGGAAAAATTGATAATTCGAGAGATTAAAGAATCAAAACATCGAAACATCCGAATCTCGATAAATCGAGATCTCAAAAAATTGAAAATTTAAAAATTCTAAAAATTGAAAAATTAAAATATGGAAAAGTTGAAAAATTGAGAAATCGAAAGTTTAAAAAACGAAAAACTGAAATAAATATCCAAAAATTGAGGAATTAAAAAATTGGAAAATTGAGAAATCGAAAAATCAATAAAGCAAAGTCGAAAAATCGAAGAATTGAAGAACTGAAAAATCTAAACTTTGAGAAATGGGAAAACCAAAATTAATCTAATTGAGAAGTCGGAAAACTGAAAATTTGGCAACGTCAAAATTTGAAAAATTAAAAAATAGAAATACTGAAGAACTGAGAAATAACCAAATCGAGAAATCGAAAAATCTAAAATTTAAAACATTGAACAATTAAAATATCGCAAAACTGAAGACTCGAGAAATTCAAACATCAAAAAATCAAAAAATAAAATTTCGAAAATTTAAAATTTGAAAATTGAAAAACTTAAAAATCGACTAATCGAGAATTCGAAACTCCAGAATTTAAAAATTTGAAAAATTGGAAAGTTGAAAATTTAAAAATTTCGAAAATTGAAAAATTGAGAAGTTAAAATATCGAAAAGTAGAAAAATTGAGAAATCGAATGATAAAACAGTTAAAAATTTAAAAATCTAAGGTTTAAAAAACGGAAAATTGAAAATCTATAATGTAAAAAATCGAGAAATCGAAAAATTCAGAACTCGAAACGTCGAAATACTAAAAAATCCCGAAACCCAAATATCGAAAAATGGAAAAGTAGAAGATAAATTGAAGAATGGAAAAATTGAAAAATCACAAAATTGAACGAAATATTAAAAAATTAGGAAATTAAAAAATTGAGAAACCGAAATGTCAAAAAAGCAAAGTCGAAAAATCTCAAACTTAAAAAATCGAAACTTTGTGAAGTGGAGAAATGGGAAAATAAAAAAAAATAGATTATTTGAGAAATCCGAAAACTGAAAATTCAGAAACGTCAAAATTTGAAAAATCAAAAAATACTGAAGAACTGAAAAAACGAAAAGTCTACAATTTAAAACAGTGAAAAATTAAAATATCGTAAAATTGAAAAATGTTGAAATCCAACCATCACAAAATCAAAAAAATAAAAATTTAAAAATCGAAAAACTGAAAAATCAACGAATCGAGAAATCGAAACTCGAAAATTTAAAAAAATGGAAAATTAAAAAATCGGATAATTCAAAAATCGAAAGATCGAACAATCGAAAAATTGAAAAATCTAAACTTTAAAAAACGAAAAACTGAAAATCCAAAAATAAAAAATCGATAAATCCTGAATTCGAAAAGTCGAAGAATCAAAATATTGCAAAATCTCAAAACTGAAACAAATTAAGGAATTAAAAAATTGAAAAATTGGGAAATCGAAAAACCAATAGAAGAATTGAAGAACTGAAAAATCAAAACTTTTGAGAAGTGGGAAAACCAAAAATAGATTAATTGAGGAATCGGAAAACTGAAAATTTAGCAACGTCAAAATTTGAAAAATTAAAAAATAGAAATCCTGAAGAACTGAAAAATAAAAATATCGAGAAATCGAAAAATCTAAAATTTAAAATATTGAACATTTAAAATGTCGCAAACCTGAAGAATCGAGAAATCCAATCATCAAAAAATAAAAATTTAAAAATTGAAAAATCGGAAAACTAAGAAATCGAAACATTGAAAAATTGGAAAATCGAGAAATTGTAAAGCCCAAAAGTAAAAAATCGAAAAACCGAGAAATGCAAAAATCGAAACATCGAAAAAATTAAAAAACTGAGACATCGAGAAATCGAAAAATCAGAGGATCGAGAAATTGAATATTCGGAAGCTGAAAACAAAAGTTAAACATTGAAAAATTGATAAATCGAGAAATTAAACAATCAAAACAACGAAACATCTCAATTCGATAAATCAAGAAATCAAAAAATTGAAAAAACGAAAAACTGGAAAATCGAAAATTTAAGAATTCCAAAAATTGAAATATTAAAACATCGAAATTTGAAAAATTGAGAAATCGAAATACAAAACAGTCGAAATCGACAACTGGGAAAGTCAAAAAACTGAAAATTTAGCAACATCAAAATTTGAAAAATAGAAATATGTACTGAAGAACTGAAAAATAAAAATTTTGGTTAGCGTTTTACCATCTACATGAAATTCCTAATATAAATACAAAATTTGACAACAATCGGCCCAGTACTTTCGGAGATTATCTGTCTATAAAAATCCGTGACGGCAGACAGACAGACAGAAGCGAGATACTTATTTCTTCGTACTTTAGGGCCACGAAAGGTCGAGAAAACGTAAAATTAGAGAGTGGATCGACGGACTCCATTGCAATACTTTCTTTATTTAGCGCTCAGGAAGTAAAAATATATGAGTAAATTCTATAAATTATTTTGGAAACTACAGAACTAGTTTTTTTCAAATTTTTATACTACACTAATATATTTTTTTTTTCTGGATGAAGTGAAGTAAGGGGTAAGACTATACTCACTGGCCATACTTAAGTATTACCAGATTTAAAGGGGAGTGTGTGAATATTTAAATTCAATAATCTCAAAATCACTTTGTTTTTTGAAAAAAGTTCTAAAAAGGTCTTAAGATTTATGTTAATCGGCGGAACGAATTTAAATTAAAAAAAAAATTCTATTGTTAGGAGTTCTTTACAAAAGTTCGGATAAAGGAGTCGTACGAGTGACAGGCCTACAACCAGGAAGAACTAAACTAATGGTTAATGTTACATTTACTGCGGTTAACGTCCCAGACCCCATAATTTACCATGCTTCTGTGGATTTGGAAGTATTTGAGCCACTAGTACTTATGAAGCCAAAACATATACCTGGGAAATCTCTTCTTATGGCAAGGCATTCCAGTATTCAATTAGAAACTAATTTGGATGGAAGCGCTCAAATTGAATATAGGTACGTTTTAATGAATCATATTCTATTCTACAATTTCCAAATTTCGCCAGCATTCCAGAATTCCGCCTCACCGGCACAGAATTATCAGCAATGAACTCCACACCCATAGCTACGATTACAGTGACCGAAAAAGGTCATTTGACGTCTTACGGTACTGTGGGTTTTGCTCAGTTGCTAGTAACAGCTACCGACGAATTAGGTTTGAAGCAGACGCTTACTTACGTTGTTGAGGTACGGAAATCAATTTTAACATATACAGATCTGTCATTAAAATTGTAGGTGAAAGCAGTGCACTACATGTTGCTAGTAGTAAAAGCAAACTGGCGAATTCATCTGGACAGTTCTTTACAAGTAATACCTCTCGGCACTGAATTTGATCTAGTACCAAATTTCTACGACAACATTGGAAATAAATTTAATGCCGGCCCAAGACAAGTGAAACTTCGAGCCAATCGCATGGATTTGATCAAAATCAAACAATATATGAGTAATACCACAATCACTGTGGCGACGAAGAGACAAGGACATACGGTCATCAAAGGGTGGACCGATGGCGTTGACAATACTGCAGACTATCTAAAAATACACTGTAAAGAAGTGATCAAACCTATTGTGGTAAGATTATTCCGAACTAGTTTTTTTGTAAGAGTGTTTGTTCATATGGTTTTTTCAGGACTCTTTGACTAGTGGGGACATCATGTGCTTATGGAGTCCCGTGGTGACGAGACACTTGCAGGTCGGAGCTTGGAGCAGCAGCGATACTAACATGATTACTATTGATTCAACGATCGATTTGGCCTTTGTTATTGGAAACAAAGAAGGAACCGTACTTCTTACACATTCGTTGCACTCGAACGTACCGCTTCGCATGCAAGTTCTTCCTGTTGCTGAAGTCACTCTATATCCCGATAAAACTCTGTTTTTCACGAATGGAGCCGAAGGAACGATGCACAAAATCGGAGTAGTTTTGAAAAGTCGAGTGGGGCCACCAGATAAACGAAACAATTTGGTAAGTTTTTTAAAGTAAATGAAACGGTTCTAATTTAGTTGCTGATAATTTGAAACATATTTATAAGTGAGGTATTATGTCACTGTTTGTCTTTTGTCGCCGTTTAAATTTAAGTCACAAATTTCGATGACAAACAAAAGTTAATAATAATAATAATAACATTTATTGACGATTCATGGTAACCAAAACCATTGATTAAGATTATTTAAAGTACATCAAACAATTAATCCATTGATATCCTCATGAATGAGTCGACAGTGTCATAGAGTAATATAGATGCGACATACAGGCTGATTTTGCAAAATCACCATTACTGACTGACATTGGAGTCCTCTTATTTCACTACAACTCGTCGCCTGAGAACTTGTTTGATCTACAGACCAGAGCGCGCTCAGACCAATGTCGACTCTAAGCGTTCAGAAGCGATTTGGTAGGTTTGGACTATAATTTCTGCGGGAAATAGTTTGGTCGGTTTTTATAACGACTAAGTGAATATTTTTGGTACATATTTAGATGATTTTACATATTTTATTTAACTAAGAATTAATTCTTTATTTGTATTTTATATTAGCAAAACGTCTTAAACTAAGAATATTGTTGAAATCGTAATAACCCAATGGATTTTTTTCGGGAAAATGTTTTGGAAACACAATGTTCTATTTTGTATGAATTTTTAATGTTTTTAGTGACAATTTTTGTGGTTGTTTTTGATACACTGTATGATATTAACAGTGAGAAAAAAAAAAATGAAAAATTAAAATAATCGAAAAATCGAAACCTTAAAAAATCGAAAAATGAAACATCATAAAATCGAAAAAATGTAAAATTCAAAAATCTAAAATTTAAAAACCGAATAACGAAAAATCGAGAAATCGAAACTCAAATTTAAAAAATCGGATGACTGAAAAATCGAAAAATCAAAAGATCAAGAAATCGTGGAGTCGAAAAGTCGAACAATTGAGAAACCGAAATAGGCCAAAATCGAAAAATGGAAAAGTTAAAAATTGAAAAATTTATAAATTGAGAAATTGACAATCAAAATATCGAAAAATCCAAATCTCGATAAATCGAGAAATCAAAAAACTTAAAAATTCGAAAACTTGAAAAATTGAGAGATTGAAAGATCAAAAGAACGAGAAATCGAAAAGTGATCAAGTCGAAAAATCGAAAAATAGAGAAATCGACAAACAAAACGTTAAAAGTTGAAAAATTGGAAAAGCGGAAAAATCAAAAACGAAAAAATGGAAAACTGGAAAAACTGAGAAACCGAAATAGGCCAAAATAAAAAATTGAAAAACTGATAAATCGAAAACCTGAACAATCAAATCTCGATAAGGGCGGAGTTTAGCTGCAAATTCCTCATTTCTCTACAAAAAATTACCATATGAAATATGTTTTTAAAAAGATAGAATTTTTTAGAGAAATATTGATCTTACATTTAAACTCTGCCTTTAAAAACTCATCACAATTGAGATCGGAAACGAAGACTTCGTATATTAAGAAAAACCGGACCAAATACATGCGCCGCCCACCCACCCCTTCTCAATTGTGATGAATATTTTATCCATTGTGAGCTGAAGGGCGGAGTTTAGCTGCAAATTCCTCATGTCTCTACAACAAATTACCATATGAAATATGTTTTTAAAAGAGTAAAATTTTTTAGAGAAATATTTATGTTACATTTAAACTCTGCCTTTAAAAACTCATCGCAATTGACAACGGGCGGGTGGGTGGGGCTTAACTTTTGTTTTTTTTTTTTTTAATATATAGAATTCTCTTTCAACAACAGGTTAGGTAAACATGTTTTCAGTTTCTTGTTGGGAAAAGAAGACTTCGTATATTAAGATAAAATGGACAAAATATAAGCTCCGCCCACCCACCCCTTCTCAATTCTGATGAATATTTTATTCATTGTGCGCTAAAGGGCGGAGTTTAGCAGCAAATTCCTCATTTCTCTACAAGAAATTACCATATGAAATATGTTTTTAAAATGGTAGAATTTTTTAGAGAAATATTGATCTTACATTTAAACTCTGCCTTAAAAAACTCATCACAATTGAGATCGGGCGGGTGGGTGGGGCTTTTTAATATATAGAATTCTCTTTCAACAACAGGTTAGATAAACATGTTTTCAGTTTCTTGTTGGGAAAAAAAAACTTCGTATATTAAAAAAAAAAAAACACGGAGCAAATATAAGCCGAATAATTGAAAAACAGAACATATAAAACCAGGAAGTCGAAAAATCGAAAGATTAAGAAATATTGAAAAATTAAAATATCAAAAGATTGAAAAATCTAAAATTTAAAACTCCAAAAATTGAAAAATCGAAAAAGTAAAAAGGTAGACACGTCGAAAAATCCAGAAGTCAAAAATAGAAAAGCCGAAGAATTGAAATATTGAAAAATCCTAAAACTGAAATATCTAAACACTGAAAAATCGAAAAATCAAAAAAGTGAAGTCGAAAAATAGAAACCTTAAAAAATCGAAAAATTGAAAAACCAAAAACCTGAAAAATCCAAAAATTAAAGAACAGGAAAATCGAAAGACTCGAAGGTCAAGAAATGGGAAAATCAAAACATCGATTAAATGTAAAATCGAAAAATTGAAAGTTTATGAAAGTCAAATTTGACAAAATGACAATTGAAAAATATAAAATCCAAAACGGGGTCGAAAAATCAAAAGATTAAGAACTCTAAACATTGGAAAAATTCGAAAACTTGAAAAATTCAAATATCGAAGAACTGAACTGAAAAATCGACAAATCGAAAAATTTTAAATTTTAAAAATTAAAAAATCTAAAATATAAAAATCGAAATATTGAAAAATCGAAAAAGTAAAATAATTAACACATCGAAAAATCCAGGAGTCAAAATTCGAAAAGTCGAAATATTGAAAAATCCCAAAACTGAGATATCGAAAAACTGAACAGAAAACTGGAAAACCTGAAAAATCCGAAAACTGATATATCCAAAAACTGAAAACCTAAAAAGTCGAAAAATTGAGCAATCGAAAAATCCAAAAAGTGAAGTCGAAAAATCAAAACCTTAAAAAAACTAAAAAATGAAAAATCAAAAAATTAAAGAATTGAAGAACAGGAATATCGAAACCCTCGAAAGTCAAGAAATGGGAAAATCAAAACATTGATTAATTGTAAAATCGAAAAATTGAAAGTTTATGAAAGTCAAAATTGAAAAATTGAAAATTCGAATATTTGAAAAAACAATTGAAAAACAGAAAATCTATAACCGGGAAGTCGAAAAATCGAACGATTAAGGAATCGAATCATTTGAAAAATTGAAATATGGAAGAGCTGAAATCAAAAAATAAGAGAAATCGAAAAATCTAAAATTTTAAATATTGAAAAATTAAAATAACAAAAAATTTAAAAATCTAAAATTTAAAAATCGAAAAAGTAAAAAGTCGATACATCAAAATATCCAGAAGTCAAAAATGGAAAAGTCGAAGAACAGAAATATTGAAAAATCCCAAAACTGAAATATTGAAAAACTGAAAAATGAAAGAAAAACTGACAAATTGAAAAACTGAAAAATCCCAAAACTGAAATATCTAAAAACTGAGAACTTAAAGAATCGAAAAATTGAGAAATCGAAAAATCAAAAAAGTGAAGTCGAAATATCAAAACCTTAAAAACATCGAAATATTGAAAAATGAAAATCCTGCAAAATCGGAGTAAGATCGAAAAATTGAATAATAAGTAAACTGAAAAATCCCAAAACTGAAAATCCAAAAACTGAAAAATTAAAAAATTGAAAAATTGAGAAATCGAAAAAAGTGAAAAATTGAAAAATCGAAATATTTAAAAATCGTAAAATTGAAGAGAAAAACTGAAAACCAAGAAATTGAAAAATTGAGAGATTGTAAAATCCAAAAATTGAATAATAAATAGGAGTAAACTGAAAAGTCCCCAAACTAAAATTTCGAAAAACTGAGAATTCGAAAGTTGAAACAGCAAGAAATTATAGGTTAGGATGTGTTTCAGATCACGGATCATGGCTTATAAGTCAAATCGTTTTCGAACGCTTAGAGTGCGCTCTGGTCTGTAGATCAAACAAGATTTAATCAATGCTAGTTAGAAACAAACACTGTTGCCAACATAAGTCAAGGAGTCCTCAACCGTCATTTAATTTAAACTATGACGCTTCTCTATGTTCTCTGACAGTGTTCAATTTTAGAAATTTTTAAAAATAATTTTAAATTTACAACAAGATTGGGCCCAGATGGGAGCATTGGGGCACACCCGATGGAACGTGAATTGCGTTTGATTTAATTCCGTCAATTTCTACAAATTGTTTTCTACCAGTCAGGTATTATTCTAACCATGCTAGAAGAGGATTACCAATACCTAGGCGATATGATTTCAACAGTAACCTTTTTATGTTTATACGATCGAACGCCTTTGACAAATCAGTCTAGACGCAATCTACTTCAAAACCACTTTCCAAGCTGTTTAACACATAATCAGTAAACACAAAAAGATTTGTCATGCTTGACGGCCTTTTATGAAACCATGTTGTTCTTCAACTATTATTTGTCGGACGTTAAAAGAAATAATAATATCTGCCTGCGAAACTCTTCTATAATTTGAAACCACATATTTAGATCCTTTTTTGTGAATCAAATTTTATTGTATAAAATACTCAACGGAAAACATATGTATTTCAACACATTCCTTCAACAAAATCATTGGCATACCATCAGGATATCCCTCTAGAACTTTTTAATGCTATCAATTTATTAAGTATAACTTTTTCGGAGATAATGACAGAGTTTAAAGTAATAATACTATTTAAAGAGTCGGATAAAAAATCGCAACTGTTCTGATGTGTTGAATATACTGAGGAAAATAAATTTACTATAGACTGAACATAGTCCGCTCTTTCTCTATTTCTATTAGATCTATTGGCGTTAACAAATTTCCAAAAATATTTACAATCTGTTGTGATATTTTGTTCTGCCTTTAGTACATATCGCTGCCTACATAATTTAATAGCATCTTTACATTTTTTTCTTAAAGAACTAAATGCCAGATAGTCAGCCATTTTATGAGTTGTTTTATACATTATGTGAGGCTTCTTTTTATCCAATATTAATATCCTGGTACCCTTATCAAACTATTGGGGACATTAAGTCGTTATTTTCAAAATAATTGGAGTACTACTAGTTCTTAATCATATGTCTACTTACCGTTTTGACTTCTCCTTCCTATTTTACTCAACTCTCGTTTATTTGTGAATTTGTGGGTGTATTTATGCTTGAAGTTCGTATTTGTTATGACTAGATTTTCTATGCTTGCTTGAATTATTTTGTCTTTGTCGTTGTTTGTAGTTTGGTTTACTTTCTTTAGTAAATGTTTCTTTATACTACGTTCTGGTTTCCTACGCATCCTTTTAAATCTGCCATAACTAATATGTTTTCTCTTCTTTCGTCTGTTTCTGTTTATACTTTCTTTAAATTCATCTTTCTTTTCATCTTCGTTTTTCCGATATGCTGTTACTTTTTTCGAAAATTTTATTTCTGTCTTTAAAATTTTCTCATTTATATATTTCTCTTTTATAACGTCCTTTAGCTTATACCGGGTGTTTGAAAAATGGCAGATTAACTCTCCGCTACGCTCTTAACTTCTTACATTTTGGTGGAGTTATAATGATTGTAAAATTGGCGACGTTGAACAACTAAACAACACATTCATAATTACAATAACTAGTAATAAAATAATATTTAAAAATATTGACAACAATGTTTGTTAATTTTAGTTTCCCTGCTGTTTTATTTTCGGATAAATTTAAAGGAATCTGATGTTTTGTTGCTGGATGAAAAATCTTTTGAGCTTTTATTTTTTACGAATTTGATTTTATTCGGGAGATTCTTGGGTACTCATGGTGTATTATTTTGGCAGCTCATGGAGATTTTTTTTGTAAATTATTTAAAACAATTTTGGAGGAATTTGGTGTTCTATTTTTGGGAAATTCTGACCTGACTTGTTTTTGAGTTAATTTTGGGACCCCGTTTTGTTACGGGTTATTTTGAGGTTCTAGGTATACCTAGATTTTGAAAGTGCGTTGCAGCCTCTAGTGTCTTTTCTTATAATAATTTAATTACATTTCTTAGAGGATACGTCATTTGCTCAAATCAGTCTTTATCCCCGCCCACCCACTCTGTCTTTTATTAGAGGGTATGTATTTGCCAAAATCAGTCTTATCTTAGCACGAACTAGCCCCGCCCACCCTCTCATCTTTTCTTAGAGGGTATATCATTTACCAAAATCGGTCTTATATTAGCAAGTACTAACCCCGCCCCCGCGCCCTATATTGTCAGTTTTATCCTAGCTATTAGCTGCTAAGATAAAACTGATTTTGGCAAATGGCATATCCTCTAAGAAAAAAGTGGGTGGGTGGGCGAGGCTAGGAGCTGCTAAGATAAAACTGAATTTGGCGACATTACGAACTTACTTATATGCACAAGGCAGGAATTTCGAACATGCTTTAATGAATTTTTCTTTTATTGGTTATGTTTTTGCTTATAATTTATAAAAGTCTTATTATTATTATTTTTTGTTTATTTATTTATTTAAAATAACAGCTTGTTTTATTAATAATAATGCCCAATCATTAATGACTACTGCTTGTTATGGTTATTGTTTTAAAAAAATATATAAAATGTGGATTTCAGTCACCATTTGACTTGTATAAAATTACATTTTTTTCGTAATCTACACCATAAAGAATGTTTTTATTAGTTTTTTGGGACTTCCGAAACCCCCATACATAATGTACTGAAAGTTAATCCGCCATTTTCCAGACACCCGGTATAGTGCTATCTTATTCCACATGTTGCGCTTTCTATTTCATTGACCCCTGACCAAAATAGCCAGTATCCCATATGTATTTTTTCATTCCATTTCATTTCTTTTTGATTTATGTGATCATTTCTCTTGATAATTTTTTCTACTAATTCTTTTTGTGACGTTTTTTATGTTCCTTATACGGATTCTCAACCTACCACATCTTTTATCTTTCTTGCTCCTTTCGATTCATTCCTGTTCATTGGCTTAAATCATTTCCGTGTTGTTTCCGTCTTATCCATCCTTCCATCGTCTTCTAGTGTTTTGTTTATTACTTATTTCCTTGGTGTTATTTTCTTCTAAATTCCATATCTGAATACTCTTAGGAAAATTGAAAGTTGAATATTCTTACTTGAGGAATAAATAAAGTTACTTCAAGAAAGGTGTGACTGAGAGAAAGATGACCACGCATACCCTACTCAATTACTCTTGGTGATCTCTTACGTCTCCAACAATAGAAAGACGTTTGAATCTTTAACAACCTCCAAACCAGTTGGGAAGACTGCGATTTTAAATTTGCTATTACTTTTACTTCATTTTGCTTCTACGCTATGGCCAGGCTTCTAAAGATCTCAGTGTTTTTCGAATCGTTAAATGTATATGTTTTTAATGTAGTGGTATTTTTTTTGGAAATGTTTTTGTCATGAAAATGTTGTAGATCCAAGGTTGGCTGTGTGATCGTGCCTTTCATCGATCGATTGTACCAACACCTTTTCGCTGCTTCGTGAAATTTACCAACGAGACGGCTGAACTAGACGCTAATGTTATATTTAATCTACAAAGTGGTTTCACTTCGGATTTAGGTAAATGCACCATCTACAACAAACAACACAAAACTTATTGAACGATTTTTAGGTCAATATCATTGCAAAGTTGTAGCGACAGGATCCAACACATCGGAAGTTAGTCTTCTGAGGACAAATGTGTCATTTTGGGCTATTTCCGACGAAGGGGAAATCGAGTCTGAACCATTGATACTGCCTTTTATTCCAACACCTTATGTGCCTCCAGAGTTACCTATCGGTGACAACGGAAACATTGGAGAACTTGTTATTACAGGATTAGACTTTGTGTTAAGTCAAGTTGTGGTGCGTATGACTTCGTTGAATGTTAGAAGATACTAAGTATTACATTTTAGGCGCAAGCAGCTGATACGAGTATAATTTACTTAGGTAAAGGACACCTCATTGACGAGAATCATAAAGTATTCCAAGTGCATCTAGTAGACTACCATCCGAAGTTTGCTGATCAAGAAGACACCATGGGAATTTTAGTCAGATCACCAATGACCGACCAAGTTGCAAGGGTAATTTAGCAACAGTTAACTGGTACAAAAAAATATTCAATTTTTTTAAGGTTATGGTCAAAGTGTCCAATAAATATCGAGACGACATCTGTATGAGCAAGTCTCCTATATTCAGATTTATTCAATATTACAAACATGCAATCATTATTGTGACTTCAATGTTGATTATTTTCTGCATCACGTGTTATAGTAAGTGTTTAAACATTAATGCAGGTTATGCTCTTAATTTTTTTATTCTTTGTGCAGTTTATTCACGTTATATGCAACCTGTGGTCAACGTTAATGTACATCCAAATCGATCACTTTTGGGAGCAGGTATGTGAAATTTTTCTGTTGATGTTTAATGACCCCTAAAGTATAAAAAAACGGGTCCCCGTTTCCGTTTGTATGTCGTCGATATTGACCAAACATTTTTATTGTAGCGGGCCACATCCAACCGGCTATTTACCCTCCAACATCCACTCCTGTGGGTATGAACAGAAGCGGTTTGCTACAGCCGACAATTCCGAGGCTGTCTCCTACCTCACCAATTTGTACAAGCAAAACCAATTGCACATGCGGAAAAGTGCGGGAACCTGTGTATGGTGACATCAGTTCGTTTGCAATGAACAGTCCAGAATTACGAAGAAATCGTAGATTTTTGTGAATAATGTGTTCAGTTAGAAGATTGTAAATTACCCTAGGTTGTTTTGTACATACTCAAAATGTGCCAGTCTTTTGTACATACCCTTGTTATGAAGTACGTTTCTTTTTAGAGAGGAGGCCCGAATTTACTGTACTTATTTTTTTACGAAAATACAAACATTTTTTGGTACAATTTTTTCACGACTTGCTTTTAAAGATTTTTTCAAACTAATCAGAAAAAACTTAACACAATTAACTGTCGTTCGAAATTTTTATGTCAACTTTACGACTTCATTGTGATAACTAAGAACCCGTGACATTAGCATTTGTTTTTTCGGTTTCTTTTTTTTTAATTAGTTTTTTGAATCTTAACAGATAAATAATAATTCACACTTTATGGTATGGATAAAATATTATTTGAGTATTTTCGATTAACAAATTAAAAAATTATCGCGGACTTTGTACTAAGAGGATGTAGAATTAGTTGACTCCTTCCGCCAACTAAAGATGGAATGGTTTTTAAGAGACATGGTGAGTACACAAATTATTACTACTCGAGGGAGTTTGGCGAGTATGCTAGTAAGCGTACATACCGTGGAAGAAAGAGTATATTCTTTCGTCCATGGTTTTAGAGTACAAATCAGTGGTGTAACGACGTTTAACCATAAATCGTGATAAAAATCTGATTACTTTTATCACACATCCCTAACAAAAATCAACTTACACATACTACCCACTAAATGCACACTAATTCTTTTGTTTTCTCGAGGTTTCATAACTCTTATCTATAGTATGAAAAAAATTGATCTTCCTTCCTAGTTTGTTGGCGATTTTAATAGATAGATGAAATGTCCGAAACTATTGGATCCATTGTTGTGAAATTTTATGTGTATTGTTACATTGATCGGTGATTAAAATCGGCGTGGGTAAAACTCAACAATTTATTTCTTAGTAACTCAAATTGACACGACTACTTAATTACACAGCGATTACGGATTTGACTAGACTCTACTTCTCCCATTGTCTGGACATAACTAACTGCTCCTGACGGTGTTTCCCATTTAAAGAGCCACGCGGTCCTTCTCGAAACGCCTTCGTCACCGCTTCTAGACTTGTCTGGAGCACCCACCGCGACTTCCGCTTCGAGGCGTTTCTTTAGCGATCATCGCCGCACATACTAGAAAACCCATAGGCGTCATACCGGGGCAGCGTAGTGGTTTAGTTCGTAACAGTATTTTAGGAATATCGTAAAGATGGTAAAACATTATCAAAAATTTATTTGATCATCTCTACCAAAAATTTGATGACATCGTTTCAAAATTTTGCAAAGAAAATCTCATTTAAATTTCATGAAATAAACATATTCTAGATTTCTAATTTTATGGGGGCTGACCGTAGCCAGCCGGCACTTAGGGCTCTCAATCTATCCAACTGCTTGAATGTACTTGAGTAATGCAGAAGGTGGGAACTCCCTGATTTTGCCATACTAGGCCAGATGTCCCGCGAAAAATTCAAAATTTGGCCTTGGCTGTGATCGTCTAACAAAAAGGAAACCTACGTTGTGTATGTGTTTTTTTTTTACATGGCGGGAAGACGTTCTTTCATACAAGTGAACATACATTACGTGTGATTCGAGAGCGCAACAAATAATAGTCAAAATTGTTTTGGAGGGGCTAACCTGGCACTCCTCTCAGGAGGAAAGAATCTGCGAGGATTCACTCCTCAGCCTCAAAAACCCCATATCGTATATTCACCGACATATTACATTTCAAATGAAACACCTTAAAATATGAAAGAAAAGACACTCGCGAATTGACAGACATACACATGAAAAACGAACGCAAAATCCTATACACTGTTTGGAATCAATGCAAATATTTGAATATAACAAATTGAATAAAAACAAAGCAAAATTTGAATTAAAATAACTGGATGCAAATACACAAGTTATTACGGGCGTGTGGCGTCAGATTTTAAAGTTCCGGCAGTTAATATGAGCACAACAAAAGTACCCCTGGGGCGTTCTAGCATAAGCGGAGTTTGGGGCTACCGGTCGGGGCTGTTCTCCCCCCTCGACGGTGATTTTATGTGTCGCAAGCCTATCTGTACAACATATTACACGTCTCTAGGACGAATAAAATGCCGTCCGAATCTATCCAAACCTGCACCCTTTGTGCAGGCGACGCGATAAGATCTCGCCAGCTCGACTAGGAACCGCACTTCGCTTCTGCCACGTTTTCTGTGTTATTTAACCTCAGTTCCATTTTTAAATGTTCAGTCTCTTTAACTCTGATATTAACAACAACTGAACAAGTGTTAAAGTTTCAAAGAGCAATAAACAACATTTAAATTCGCAATACAATCTTGTGACATTTTAAACAATAAATAATTCTTATGTGAGATTAAAATTGGACACCAAATAATTTATACGATGGAAACATTCATCAACAAAATATTTACAAAACAAAACTAGTAAAGATTTATAAAATAAAAGATCTGGTGTGAAATATTGTACTTGTGCAAATAAAAATATTATGTGAGGTTAAAACTGCAGAGCATGAAATTTACGTTCAATGAAAATTATACAACAAAGGAAAATTATTGAGGTCAAAACTGTGGGATTAGAGAAATATTGTATGAGGTGAAAAATTGCAAAGTTAACAAAATTTACATGAGATTAATATTTGTCACACTTTCTCAACGATTCAAACAAGAGTTTACATTATGTCAAAATATATCATGATCTAAGTGATTGGTTATTTCAAAAAAACAATTTACTTTGAGTGTTTAAAATACCACGAACTGGTTACCCCAACAAAACACATAATAAACAGACACAAAAATATCCAATCATCGTTGCGAGGAAAAAGCGTCTCGGTGATGTAAATTTTTATCATTGCAAGGAAATACCTCGAAGGTGTTATTTTAGCGTTGCGAGGAATAAGCCTCATTGATGTTATCAATCTCTAGCGTTGCGAGGACATGCCTCGATGAAAAGTAATCAATCTGTAGCGTTGTGAGGACAAGCCTCGATGAAGTAATCAATCTTTAACGTGGTGAGGACAAGCCTCGATGAAGTAATCAATCTGTAGCGTCGCGAGGACAAGCCTCGATGATGTAATCATGATAACGACGATAATAACGATGGTAACCGCCTAAGGGAAGAAATTATTTTAACCGCCCGCCAGTTCGCAGTATAATGAATTTTGTTTAACTGCCGTAAATGAACTATTAGCAATCTTGTGTGAAGAATTAAGAAGTGTTATAATGTAACACTTACGTATATGCATCTAGAAACCCATTCGTAATTAAACAACAAAGGTGTTTTCCTGACCAAGTGAATTTCATGAAATCTTCTAGCAAGTGGTTTGTTTAAATGATCCTGATTGTTAAATTGTGTTTACACTAGCTTTAAGATTAAGAAAAACTAACTTGACTGGTGAATTTACAAACAATAAAACAAATTTACAGCACGTGTTCCGCGTTGAAAGACGGCATGTTTTTTTGATTAAAAGCCGCAAGAATTAGCCGCGCGGGTTGGGGAAAACTATCGTCATAGAAATTACGATTGATTGTCGTTAAACAAAGGCTTCCTCCCTTTTATTAACTACCAAACCAACTAATTTAAACTAGCTCTTACCACGTGTTTACATTCACAAAAACACATTCAGACTGACGCTCCGCCATGCCGCCCTCTGTCTAACCACCAACCCACTAACTAAAATCCCTAGCGCTACTAATTGTCTTAGCTATCCAGCAAGCGTTATCGTGCACCTGGTTGTCTATGTTTAACGATTTTTTAATAATTTTTTTTCTTTCGCAAATTCAAATTATTCAAATGTGATTTCGCGCCGCTGTTAATTAATTTCAGCGCGAAAATTTTGATTCAAATTCAGCGAAAAGAAAACCCCAGAAGGTATACTTCCGGATTACTAAAATCTCACTAAATTTGTGCGCAAATGACCTGCTTAGGAGATATTTACGTGTTTACGTTTACGTACTCTAATTGTGTGGGCAGAAAAGGTCTTGTTAAAGTCTTTTTCACGAAATGTCGAGTCTCTAAAAGCCCAGTGTGCTTCACGCCCTATTAAAAACATATTTATAAACGTGAACATTTTTGGTCCGTGGATCATTTAGTTATTGGAATTTTTGCAACTAAAAATACATGTGTATTTGGTTGCCTATATTTGGCGAAACCAAAAGCCTGTGAAATCTAAATTATAAAATTACATTCAAAATGAGCAAACTGGGTAGAATATACACACTCTTGAAATGTTTGCGACTTCTATGGTAGGTATCTAACCGATTTTCGTTTTAGATAAGCAATTAACTCTAAATTTACTCATAATACAAGTAAATATTGACATGTTATCATGTGCGTATCTGTCATCAGTTTATCAGTGTCACGGTGGTAGAAGTAAGGTGTGGAAACCTCATTCATAACTTTCCTCAAAATCATTGGTAGAAAACACAAATCGCGTGGTTTGGATTATATGTCATTATCTGTCCACACCGCAGCGACGTCTAGAGAGATCAGTTGAAATTAAGTAATAGAAAACTGTATTAAATCTTTGACATTTATGCCAATGTCATTTATTACCCAATCACAAATGTCGAATCATCCACCAATCACACGATTCACACCAAAGACCAACCACAAACCGTAGTGCTGTGATTTATTTTCCCTCCAACGAATCTGTCACTTATTTCATTCATAAATACACTGACAAGTTGAAATGTTAATACATAGATGGACATACTGTGCTGCATACTATTTCGTAGTAAATAAGCCTACTGGGATGCGTGTTTTATTCAACAAATTGGAGCGGCTTGTTTCCACACCTTACTTCTACCACCGTGATCAGTGTCAAACAACAAGTAGTTAATTCGTCTCGTACAAATAATCTACTCGTACACATGTCCCATAATTTATTTTTATCTCTATTTCTAATTTATTTCTGTTTTGCAATTAATTGTTCACATGTGGAGACAAAAAATAACTGCGTCTTGAAAAGCGACACATCCTTGGCAATTCCACTCTTTTTTTTACAAATGTATTTAACAGGTTTCCATCTACCGTCTCTGTCTAATAACATGGACATCGAACAGGTGACGGACACACTACAAATGTTGAAGTTAAACAACAATTTCTAATTAAATGAACACAATCATTGTGATAAATGTGGTATTACAACTAACGACGTTTAAGTAGCACGATACCGCGTCCCTCCTCTAGGTGTAATAATTACTAATAATTAGTGTAGGTTAAACAATGACATTTCCATCATTTTTACAAACGATTCAAGACTACGTGGGTAAGTTATTTAATATTTATCCAAAATGTTGCCTGTTTTATTCAATACGCCTTATTTGTTACACCTTGTGTCGTTTTTAAAATCTCCTAACGAACACTAACCCCCAAAAAAACGGCGCGAATTTCGCAATCGCCAAATATGTGACCTAATTTTATTTTAGTTGAATACATTGATATTGACTATTCTTTGTGGTTAACATGGTGCTTAGCCCCTTTGCTCATCTCGTTTCTGCTTCCTGTATTGATAGCCCTATTGCTGTACCTGACTGCTTTTATTTTATACATTTACAAACTGCACTGGAGGAGCATTCGCATAACGTTACAAATAGGTGACAAATGGGACGCTGCCAGGAGAACTGCAGCAGCTGTCTGGGACGCACATGGTTGGATCTGGCATGGTAAACCCTCACGTTCGTGCCTGTATAATCTGTAGCTTTTTTTTTCAGGATACGAAATACGGGGCTTAGAGAATCTTCCTGAAACAGGTCCAGCGCTGATTATCTACTACCATGGCGCTATTCCCATAGATATTTACTATTTTTTAGCGAAGACGATGGTTTTAAAAAATCGACTAGTCCACACAGTCGCCGACTATTTTTTATTTAAACTTCCAGGTCAGTTTGGTTGTGCATCCAGTTAGTCAAGTAATGGTATTTAGGTTTCAGTATTATTGCTGATTGCATGAAAGTTATTCCGGGCACTATTCAGTCGTGTTCTAACATTTTAAAAGAAGGGAATTTGCTGGCGATTTCCCCTGGGGGTGTGTATGAGGCGCAGTTTAGTCATCATTACAATTTAATGTGGAAAAGACGTTTAGGCTTTGCTAAAGTAGCACTAGATGCGAAAGTTGTGAGTAAATGAATACTTTCTGGTTGGATAAATTAAAGTCGCCTTTTTAGCCAATCGTACCTATGTTTACTGAAAATTTGCGAGAGGCGTTTAGGACCTTGAGTATAGGTAGACGAATGTTTTTGCGACTGTATGCCATGTTCAAGTTTCCATTTGCTCCAATTTATGGCGGCTTTCCAGTAAAGATGATCAGTCATGTGGGGAAACCTATTGCCTATGACCCAAACTTGACGCCCGAGGATCTACAAGCTAAAGTCGCGGCGTCTTTGAATGATCTTATTAAAAGAAATCAGAGGGTACCTGGGAGTATTTTGTATGGGATTTTGGATAGAGTACCGTATTTTAAGGCTAAAAATTCAGTGCCACATGAAGAATAGGCTTCCATTTTTTTTTTCCTGAACATTCCTGTATTATATGTATTTTTCTTTATTGTTTTTATTTTTACGTACATATAAGTACTTAAATTTTATTTATTTTATTTACGTGAATTGGTGATTGTAAATATCGTAGTAAGTATAGTACAAATATTAAAGTTTTTGTGTAAATATGTGGTTTCTGTTCACATGTTACCGTCTATTGACCATTACGTACCGTTTTGGGAGTACAAATTTTCCACCAAGGAAAATAACGCTGACTATCTAACACTCCCCTTTTAGTTTTTTGTCTCCCCAAATGTAATTAAGGAAAATATTGTAATGAGTCATTTTGACGAATGTGGAATGTTAACGTTTTATTGTCGTTGCATAATTCTTTCGTTCTTCCAATGTTATTATGTGTTGTATGTTAGCGAATAAAAAACGGTTTGTTTTGTTTCAAAACGAGACGTGTTTTTCTTTGTTTTAATTATTTTTTAATTATCCTTTTCAAATGTTTGCTAATTTTTGTTATAATAGAAAGCAGAAATTTTGAAATTTTAGAACAGTATACAAATTAATCAAACAAATGTATTTTTTATAAATTTGTTTAGTGACTGCAGCATAAAATGAATGTAAAACCGTACTATAAAACATACTAAGAAAATTATTTGTTTTGTGTATTCAAAATTTTGATGTTATGATAGCGTGTTGTTGAAGTATTCGCTTGTCATCCAAGTAGTTCAAATTTAAACCCAAAGATGGCGTTACCACAAATTTTATTTTTACTTCCTGAGCATAAGCAAAGGAAGTATTGCAATCGACTCCGTCGGCCGACTCTCTACTTTTACATTTTCTCGACCTTTCATGACCCCTAGAAGACGAAGAAATAAGTCTCCTGTTTCCGTCTGTGTGTCCGTCTGTCTGCGGTCCCCGATTTTAATTAGACAGATAATCTCCGAAAATACTGGACCGATTGTTGTGAAATTTTGTATTTATGTTAAGAATATCATGTAGATGGTAAAACGCTAACCAAAATTTGCCTAATCATCCCCACCAATAATGTGATGACGAAGCTGTGATGATGGCTTACTTTCAAGATCTGGTGAGTTAGTATCATTTAAATATATGTTTACTAATAATGGTCCTTTTTTATATAGTCTGAAAAATACAGCCCTAATTCCTTGTGGGCAAAGTATTCGTACTTGAAAGCGACTTTCCCGATAAATAAAAATATTGACATTTCGATTTTCAAACAATTGATTGCAGTCCTTAAGCAAAAGTCGAAGGGATATTCTCCCAAAAAATCACAAGTCTTGACAGGGGAACAAGTTTTAACGTTCATTAGAAATGCGCCTAGCGAAACGCATCTTTTGAACAAGGTATGCAAAAGATTTATTTGAGTATGTTTTCTCAAAATATGTTGTTTCAGGTGATTCTAGTAATAGGGGTATTTGGTGCGTTAAGAAAAATTGAGATGGTGCAGCTCACTATCGAAAATGTTATTGATAAAGGAATTGTTATATTAGTGCAAATTCCAAAAACTAAAACCTATGAATCCAAGTCGTTTACTATAATAGAAGAGGGAGAATTGGGTGCGTTGCAGTTGGTTCGGAAGTACGCAAGTTTAAGACCACTCGGTTTAGCAGAGAAAATGCACAAACCGTTGGGAAAAATCCGATAGGAAGTGTTCCATCTATTATTGCCCGCTACTTAAAATTGGAAAATCCGAAACAACATACGGGACACTGTATTCGACGCAGGAGGCAGTTTTGATACTTTGAAAAGGCACGGAAAATGGAAGAGCATGACCGTGGCGGAGGGCCATATAACGGATATCATGGCAACGAAAAATAAAGCAGCACAATTGATTGCAAGTTCTGTTTCCTCAGCAAAAGGATCTTCATCAAACTTACTTCAAGAGAAAGCTATCCACTTAGAAAATTCTGTTTTAACCGGAAACTTTCATTTACCATCTGGAATTGCTGCTTCTTCTTTGATGTCAGGGACATTTCAAAATTGTAATTTTTATTTCGTTAGACATTAGAAACTTTTTTGACTTTTGTACATTCTGTTGTAGTTATTAATGTTGAATAAAATTGTTGAAAAAATTGGAGGGCGTTATGGTTCATAACAGCCTCTCCTAATAGCCTGGTTATTGTAGAGTTGTTAATGTGTCTGGTATCATAGCGATTATAAGAAATAATAGATGAGTGAAATATAAAACATTTTATTTACGTCGTAGGCGGAGATGGAGAGGCAATAAAAAGTAATCTGATTAATTATTATGTATTAGAACCGAATGGACTGCGGCTGCTGAATACAGGCGTACGTAAAGCGATGCTCAATTTGCCTGGAGCATGTGACATTTAAATAAATAGGTGCGAGCCTTCGGAAAAGTATACACACAAATTTTTTTACATCAACGATAGATTTGTTCTAGAACGTGGAACAAATTTGGAGGATTTCAAAATATCTTTCAAGTTCCAAAGTCCCCCAAAGAGACGAAATTGCGACTAAGTGGTTAATATTTATTTAGGAAGGCGGTTAAGAGTATAATTAAGACCTACAATACGATAAAACCTGTCTGAGAATTATATATGATATGAGTGTGTGTAAATAAGACAATAACTAACTGCAATTTCGAAAGACAATGTAATTTATTTTGAGAAAAAAAAGGTCGATTGTTCATCCAAAAAATTGGTCTAAAGAGTTTAGACAGTACTTCCCTCGCTGTCGGAAACTTGACGACTGCATGCCTATTGTATTTTTTTCTCATTACATTTTTGTAGTGGGAATTTAAAAAAAAATTGCGATAGGGTCATCAGCATTTTTGCAAGGACACGTATATCAGTTGGGATAGATGTAGTGTAATACTAAGAATAAAATTATTGTATTCCCAAATTTTCGGGAAAATGAATTGGGTCGTTTTGAATATTGATTTGTTATAATCAATAAAATAACGAAACAATTTACTCACGTATACGGCGCCGGTGTGTAATATGTAGAGAGCGGATTTCTGTCGGGCTAGGCAAGGCCAAACTCGGTACGGCTCGTACGGGAATTCATTGCGGTTGCGGACTGCACTTCGTTTATTTGAGATTAGAATAACGCTGTTTCGTTGCACTCTGTTAATTCCCGTTCTCATTTACTTAGCCGTTTGATTAATAAATCGTTAATTATATTTATGGAATTACATAGTACCGATTAAATTCAGTGATTATCTATCACCCGCTATTGAGTCCCGGCGATCCAGCGCGTCCCCACCTATAATCGTGACGTAGTCCGACAGAAATCCGCTGTCTAGTAATATGAGAGGCAACTGAAAATCGTTTATGTATAAACATTCTTAATTTAAGATGACAAGCGTAACAGCATACGTGAGAGTCAAACAGAGAAACTGTAAACAAAACGACCATCGGTTTTATTGCTTCGACTTCCGCTTATTATATAAAACATTGAGTTTTATTTTAATTTTTGACGGTGGAATTCACAATTGGTTGATTATAAACATGTCTATTCCACATTCGCTGAACCTAGACAGCGCACATGTCTGTAATGTTAAAGTCGATGTAAATAAGCGTGCTACCCTTATGTTTCAACCGAGTTTTTACTTTAAAAAATTTTGTGTCTACCAAATTGGGTTGGTCCAATGTAATACTAATAATAAGTGTTGCCTTTAATTTAATCAATAAAATAAATTGACTTCATTAATTTTTTTGAGCCACCTCTTAAGAAAGTCTAAAAAATATGAATGAAGTGATAAATCACAAGTACAGACTCATCATATTTTTATGCTTTAGATAGGATTTATTCGGCAAACTTTCGAGCTGACGTCATCAAATTTTTTGAGGGGGATTAGGAAATACATTTTGATAAAAAAGTTAACGTGCTTATGATAACTTTAATACATCTCCTATGTTTCAAAGCATTCGGTTTTGTAGTTCCTGATTAACTCAATAAAATAAATTCACGCATTCATTAATTTTTTGAGTCACTCTGTGTATGCAAATCGAAAAAATTTGAATGGAATGATAAATCACAAGTACAGACTCATCATATTTTGTACATTTTAGATGGGATTTATTCAGCAAAATTTTGGGGTGACGTCATCAATTTTTTAGGGGGGATGAGCAAATACATTTTGATAAAAAATTTACCATGCTTATGATAACTTTAAAACATCTCCAAGATTTCAAAGCATTCAGTTCTGTAATTCCTGATTAAATCAATAAAATAAATTGACGCATTCATTAATTTTTTTCGGTCACTCTGTATATGCAAATCGAAAAAATTTGAATGGAATGATAAATCACAAGAAGAGACTCACCATATTTTGTACATTTTAGATAGGATTTATTCAGCAAAATTTTGGGGTGACGTCATCAATTTTTTAGGAGGGGACGACCAAATACATTTTGATCAAAAATTTACCATGCTTATGATAACTTTAAAACATCTCCAAGATTTCAAAGCATTCGGTTTTGTAGTTCCTGAGTAAATCAGTAAAATAAATTTTGCGCATTCATTATTTTTTTTGAGTCACCCTGTATATGCAAATCCAAAAAATATGAATGGAGTGGTATATCACAAGCACAGACGCATCATATTTTGTACATTTTAGATAGGATATATTCGGCAAACTTTTGAGCTGACGTCATCAAGTTTTTGGAGGGGATAACCAAATATATTTTGACTAAAGATTTATGATGCTCTTTAGAGCCTTAAAACATCTGCAACATTTTAAAACATTCGGGTTAGCAGATTCAAAATTAAATTGCAAAATGTTGTTTTATGATTTTGATTTTTTTTCCAAAAATCTGGACGTTTCGGGTAAAAACTGAATTCGGAGTCGTAAACTACATGTGTAGGACTATGTTATTTTATACAATTTAAGACCCATTTACTATGTACAATTTTTAAGTGACGTCATCGCATTAGTGGTGGGGATGATTAGACAAATTTTGGTTAGCGTTTTACCATCTACATGATATTCCTAATATAAGTACAAAATTTCACAACAATCGGTCCAGTACTTTCGGAGATTATCTGTCTAATAAAAATCCGGGACGGCAGACGGACAAACGGACAGACGGACAGACAGACGGAAATGGGAGACCTATTTCTTCGTATTCTAGGAGTCATGAAAGATCGAGAAAACGTAAAAGTAGAGAGTCGGCCGACGGACTCGATTACAATACTTCCTTTGCTTACGCTCGGGAAGTAAAAAGCAAAGCACTACTTTTAACAGATTAGTTGACAAGGCTGTATTTATTGCAACCCTACTAATAATGTTAAAAAAAAGACACTAAATTGCATTAAAGTTTTAATATATTTATTTTAACACCGTCTTAAAAATAAAAAGCTAAAGCGTAGATAAAAAGATGCACAAAAAATTATCTCTTCCACTTATTAATCGCTCGGTGATATACTTAGTGGATAAGTGCATGTGCAAAGTAAAAATGTTCGGTTCCCTAAGTATAAATCGTGTCTTCAATAAAAGGCTACAATTTTTTTCTTTAAGATAAATTCCAAGAAATACTTCGACAGATTTAAACCCCATAGAATAAATACTGAGATAGATTTAATGAGAAGCAGTGACGCCGCTGGGTTGCTAAATAGTCCAGATGTTCAAAGTGAAGTTGGATTTATTAATTACGCCAAAGTGCGATACCATCACGGCAGTTTTCAAAAGCTCTTAAGGAACACCTCACTTCCATTAGAAACCAAAGTTTTAAACTTTTTTCCCCCCCAAAAAAATTTCATTGAATGGTGTTTCCGCTCAGTCGAATGAAACGTGGCCAGTGAAACTACGCAGAAAACCAGTCATCGGTCCACCTGAAATGATCCTAGATATGCCACAATTTGACTCACATCTATGTTAAGTAGTAAATTTTTGTGGTTTTGAAAGAAATAACAGTCATTGTAGGTCATCATGTTGCCGACTAGAGTAGCCAAAATTGTCTAACTACAATTTTTGAAAACGAAGTGCACATGTGGTATCCAGATACAGGCTGTCGTAGAGCGACAACTAATACAGGACAAGGAGTTCAACACTGCGTTAAATGGGCACCCGATGGCAGCAAATTTGCTGTTGGTTTATTTCCAAATAGGATCGATATTTGGTGTATCGTCAAGAATAAAGTAAGAATGCATTTGTTATTCTCATTTTTCAAATCCTTTTTTATTTTACCAAAATTTCGATTGTTTGCAGCAAATACATGAAAACCATTGCTGCTTGCATTTCTGCGAAATATTTTGCGTAGAATGGCTAAATAACAAGATGTTAGTAGCGGGATGCAGTAGAGGCATTTTAAGTATTTATACATCCGAATTAAATCTTTTAAAAAGAGTCTGCTGTTTTCCAAAATGCAGTATCATTAACATTACTGCTTCCTGTGATAAAAGTTTTCATGCTACAAGCAATATGAACAAGACGGTAATTGTGTGGAAGATTTCGGAGGGCCTGTCTAATTTGCAGACCACAGTTTATCTTGCAGACTGGGGGTTAAAAATGCTGCAATCAAGTCAAAACTTGACAATTGCTTATTTCTCAATACGAAGATTGTTGATACAAAATTTCAACCCGTTCGGAGAAACCGTTAAAAACCACCCCCAAAACAACCTTGCAGACTGGGGCTTAAAAATACTCCAATCAAGTCAAAATTTGATATTCGCTAGTTTCTCGATACGAGGATTATCGATACAAAATTTCAGCCTATTCGAAGCAACCCTCAAAAATCACCCCCAAAACAACCTTGCAGACTGGGGGTTAAAAATACTCCAATCAAGTCAAAACTAGACAGTCGCTTATTTCTCAATACGAGGATTGTTCGTACAAAATTTCAAGCCGTTCGGAGAAACCCTTAAAAATCACCCCCAAAACAACCTTGCAGACTGGAGGTCAAAAATGTTCCAATCAAGTCAAAACTCGATATTTCTTAATTTCTCAATACGAAGATTGTTGATACAAAATTTGAACCCGTTCGGAGAAATCGGTGAAAACTACCCCCACAACAAGCTTGCAGACAGGGGCTTAAAAATACTCTAATCAAGTTAAAATTTGATATTCGCTAGTTTTTTAATACGAGGATTATCGATACAGAATTTCAGCCTATTCAAAGAAACCCTCAAAAATCACCCCCAAAACAACCTTGCAGACTGGGGGTTTAAAATGGTTCAATTAAGTCCAAACTCGATATTTCCTAATTTCTCAATACGAAGATTGTTGATACAAAATTTCAACCCGTTCGGAGAAATCGTTAAAAACTACCCCCGCAACAAGCTTGCAGACTGGGGCTTAAAAATAATCTAATCAAGTCAAAATTTGACATTTGCTAGTTTCTCAATACGAGGATTATCGTTACAAAATCTCAGCCTATTTGAAGAAATCCTCAAAAATCACCCCCAAAACAACCTTGCAGACTGGGGCTTAAAAATACTCTGATCAAGTCAAAATTTAACATTTGCTAGTTTCTCAATACGAGGATTATCGTTACAAAATCTCAGCCCATTTGAAGAAACCCTCAAAAATCACCCTCAAAACAACCTTGCAGACTGGGGGTTAAAAATACTCCAATCGAGTCAAAACTCGACATTTGCTTATTTCTCAATACGAAGATTGTTGATACAAAATTTCAACCCGTTCGGAGAAATCGTTAAAAACTACCCCCACAACAAGCTTGCAGACTGGGGCTTAAAAATATTCTAATCAAGTCAAAATTTGACATTTGGTAGTTTCTTAATACGAGGATTATCATTATAAAATCTCAGCCTATTTGAAGAAACCCTCAAAAATCACCCCCAAAACAACCTTGCAGACTGGGGGTTAAAAATCCTCCAATCGAGTCAAAACTCGACATTTGCTTATTTCTCAATACGAAAATTGTTGATGCAAAATTTTAACCCGTTCTAAGACACCGTTAAAAACTACCCCCAAAACAACCTTGTAGACTGGGCCTTAAAAATATTATTACCAAATCGAAACTTTGTGTTTAGTTTTTATCTATACGAGAAGTAATAATGTAAAAAAACAGCCTTTTTTAAGCTGCTCTTAACAAGTACCCCAGAGCGATCTTCTATACTGGAGCTTAAAAATACACCAATTGAGGCGAAAGTTACCACTTGCTGAGTTCTTTAAACAAAAAATTATCATGTTAAGTTTTAGTTACCTTCAAGCAACTTATAAAAATGATTCATAGTTCACATTCATTTAAAGTAGGTACAAGTAGCAGAAAAATTTCAGACACATATAAAGAAACAGTATATATTTCTAAAGCACCATAGAGGTAGAATGAGAGGAGGGAAGACAGTTTGAAAAAATTACTGGTACCGCGCTTTCTACTAGGGTCCTAAATGGTTCTGTCAGGTCCTCAGAGAAACTGGTTGTTCCAGTGGCGTGCTCGAAAGCGTTTGCGGGATACTGGGCATAAAACAAAAATAATTTCATAAGAAAGCATATAAAAGCAGCAGCAGCAAATTTACTTGAGTTTTTAATTGGTTAAGATTGGTTGCGACGGTCGTCGTGTTATCTCCACCGTCGCGCAAACCGAGCTAATTCCTACAACAATGCGTCATCAGTTCATCACCCAATGATCTTAATATGCATTGTTAATTATGAAAAATATTGTTTTGTTGCCTTTTATAACTTTATTTTAATGCATATGTTTTTAGTAACCATTCTCATATTCATAATTATATTTTGCAAAAGCGTTGAATTTTTATTTTTGTTTTTTTAATTGTACTTTGCATATAAATTTGTTAAAAAAAGTAATATATATAAATTAATTTATTCTAACAACTTGGTTTTATTTATAATACAGTCCCTAAGTAGCAAGTTTTTGTTACCAAAATGTTATAATAAAATCAAGCTCCAAATTAGAGGTAAGGATTTTGCCATACTACTTTTTTAATGGGTTTTGAAATCTTGTACTAAGTGTAAGATCTGCGATATTAATTGATATTAATCGAGTCTCTGAAAAGGTGACATCAACTAAATTTAACATTATTGAGTTTTGACTTGATTGGAGCATTTTTAACCCTCAGTCTGCAAAGTTGCTTTGGGGGTGGTTTTTGAGGGTTTCTCCGAATGGGCTAAAATTTTGCATCAATATTCTTCGAATTAAAAAGTAACAAAATATCGAGTTTTGACTTGATAAGAGTATTGCAACAAAATATTTTTTCAAAACCAACAGAATATGAAACCCATTTCCTGTTAATTTTCTCTACCAAAACAAAACTAAACTAAGTATAATTTTTCTGGAGTCAAATGGTAATTTTTATTTCCAAAATTGGTGGGTAGATAATTTAGTATTCAATTAGTATTCAAGGGTACATTAGGACTAAGCTTTATAAATAAGGTATGTAGTGCCATTGGAAAGATTAAAATCATGTATATTTTCAAATTCTACATTTTTTTTCTTGAATTTTCACATCTATATCGTTATTTCCATCTAAGAATTTAATTTATCAATACAACTAAAATGTTCCTAAATACATGCATTCAACTAGATTAGTCGTAAGTGTAGTCCTCTTTACTTTTACTAAGATTTTCCAATTTTAAGTCACTTTCACCGCTAGTACGTAAAAAAAAGAGAGAAAAAGTACTAATATTTTTTTTTAAATGCAGCAACCTTTCTTGTTGCCCATTTTATACAATTTATGTCATAGATCATAGATTTATGTCAATTAACGCTTAAACAATGTCATACAAAATAGAATTGCAAAAAGCCATATATCAGTTAATTACCGAAGTACCTAAAAGTGAAGTTGTGAATATATTTTGGACCAAATATATTATAGGTACTCGCAGCTATATAGACAACAATTAAAGACTGCGAGGTAGCAATACCATCTGGTATTAATTTGCCAAAAAGTGATCGGCCACGAATTTTCAGAGAAATAAGTTTAGAACGATTAAGAAGAAATGCTAAAGACAAGAGCCTGGAACATCAACAAGAAGATTGATTGGCTCGATTGTTTAGAGTTCCCATATAACAGTTTATAGAGAAATAAACAAAAACAACTTAAAATACAGTAAAAAAGCTAAAGGTTCAAAACATACAGCATCGCAGTTAGAGAGAATTCTCAGATGTTCCCGGCTATTGAGAATTCATCATTTTCTGGATAATCGTGTCGTTATGCTATGTGATGAAAAATATTTTACGTTTGCCTATTCAGAGATAGAAGGTAACGATGGATTTTATACAAACAATATAGAAGAAATTTCAAATAAAATTTAAGTCGAAAAGTTTGAAGATAAAATTTTGGTTTGATGGGCTATAATATATGAGAACACCATAATAACAACGATGTAATATTTTGGCCAGTTTTAGCAAGCTGCCATGATAGTAGAATGTCCAGGGATTGGTTAGAAAGAAATAATATAAATTTTGTAACTACGAGTAAGAAAAGATAATCCTCCCATAATGCCCCCAGTGCGAACAATCGAAAACAACATTTGGGCAATACTAGGTAGAAAGGTTTACAACAACGGCTGGGAAGCTAATTTAGAAGAACAATTAATAAGCACAATCTACCAGAAAGTTAGAAAAATGGACGTGGACACCATCCAAAGGCTGTAAGACCTATGAAGACAATTTTGCGTCGTATTGAATATAACGGATCTTTATCGGTTTTCCCATTAATAATAATTAATTAAGAAATTAGCACTTTTCTGGGTTCTTTTTGAAATTCAAATAAAATTAAGTTTGAGCTTCCTATTATTACTTAAACTTTGTCTCAAAACGTTTTCTTTACATTAGGTTTCTCAAAAATTAAAAATGTCTTTAATTTTCTTTAAAATGTCTTTAAGATTTTGTTTCCTCTGAATTTTAAATTTTCTCTTCTGGACACCACTAACTTTGTATTTTTTGACTGATGATGAAAGTTTAATAATAGAGACCCCAAAAAACTCAAAACCAGCATATAGTATGTACTGAAAGAACCAAGTTAACAGCAAAAATGACGTGTAAAAACACACCCCAAAATGAGAGAATGAACGAAAAAATGCCGAACTTATGCATTCTTACATAGTAGCAACTGCAAGGTTGTTTTGGGGGTGGTTTTTAAGGGTTTCTCCGAACGGGTTGAAATTTTGTATCAACAATCTTCGTATTGAAAAATAAGCAAATATCGAGTTTTGACTTGATTGGAGCATTTTTAACCCCAAGTCTGCAAAGTTGTTTTGGGGGTGATTGTTGAGGTTTTCTCCGAATGGGCTGAAATTTTACATCAATAATCCTCGTATTGAAAAACTAGCGAATGTCAAATTTTAACTTGATCAGAGTATTTTTAACCCCCAGTCTGCAAGGTTGTTTTGGGGGTGGTTTTTAAGGGTTTCTCCGAACGGGTTGAAATTTTGTATCAACAATCTTCGTATTGAAAAATAAGCAAATATCGAGTTTTGACTTGATTGGAGCATTTTTAACCCCCAGTCTGCAAAGTTGTTTTGGGGGTGATTGTTGAGGTTTTCTCCGAATGGGCTGAAATTTTACATCAATAATCCTCGTATTGAAAAACTAGCGAATGTCAAATTTTAACTTGATCAGAGTATTTTTAACCCCCAGTCTGCAAGGTTGTTTTGGGGGTGGTTTTTAAAGGTTTCTCCGAACGGGTTGAAATTTTGTATCAACAATCTTCGTATTGAGAAATAAGCAAATATCGAGTTTTGAGTTGATTGGAGCATTTTTAACCCCCAGTCTGCAAGACAAACTGTGGTCTGCAAATTAGAAACGCCTGATTTCGGACATGGAACGAGTGTTCACCATTAAAAGCAAATCAATAATTAGAGTAAGTTAACTTTCAAGATAGAAGCTTTTGTTTAGGTACATTGCGCCTTTTTTGAAGGCTTTAGCATGGCACCCTTGGAAGAGCTCATTGTTTGCTTGTGGCTGTACTGATGAAGCTTCAGCACGTGTAACTATATGGAATATAAATACTCAAAACCAAGTTGCTCGTGAAAAAACCTGTTACAAAAATTCGTCTATAGGTGCTTTAACTTTTAATCCAATTAGTGGAGAACTTGTGGTAAGTTAATTTTCTTTATTAAACAAAAATCAAATTGGTCTTTCAGGTCAGCTATTTTGTACGTGAAGGAAGTGGAATTATCACTGTTATTTCGAGTATTGATACAGTTGTAGAGGAATTCCATATTCATGATGCTCCCATATTGTATCTTCTCTGGGGTAGTGGAGGAAGACAGTTAGGTAATAACAATATCATTAGATTAGGTATCAGGCATCAGTTACAAAAAATTCAATACATATAAGAACCATCGATTTTTATGTCGACTGTTTGAAATTTCTGGAGACATAACATCAAAAAATATTTCCAGTTTGCAGAACCAGTTTTTACAATTTTTAATGTTATATAATTATGTCATGCACAGATTGTTTAGCAAATCTAGTAAAAAAATGGTATTTATGTTTCAGCCTCTGTAAGTGCGGATGAGAATTTATGTATATGGAATTTTTTTGGTAATCCTAGCATAGAAATAAAGCAAACACAAGACAACTCCAGACGCTCAAATTTGATTTATCCTTGCATTAGGTAAACATTTTAATCTGTTCCTTTTAGTGTTGAAGGTTTTTATATTTTGTAATTTGTTTGAATTTTTTCACTTCAATGTGTGTCACCCATCATCACCGCATATACTAGATTTTTATAGAAACGTCTAAACAGTAAAATATATATTTTACTGTTTAGACGTTTCTATAAAAAATTATTATTACATTATACAAATAGACTACATACGTGCTGATATAAACATTATTTTAATTAGGTCTTGTTTTATTTTTGCGTGTAATGTGTAAGGAGCGAGTTTTTAATGGAATATTCCTAAAATTAGAATTTTATACATAGTCACACACATGGACGATATTTTATTAGAATGGACACGGAAGTATTTTTCGCTTTGAACCCACTTTGTACTGGGCAAATTAAAATCACCAGCTACTCAAATCACAAAATTTGAAATTTTACTACAAATTTTGGAGACATGCAATGATGAATAATAATCATTAATTCAATAGGGGAATTAAGAATTAGGAAGAAAATAAACGGTGTATAATACTGTTACGTTGTTCGGTGATTTAAAAATCGGCGTAGGTAAAACTCAACAATTTATTTCTTAGTAACTCAAATTTACACGACTAATTACACAGCGATTATGTACAGAATAACTCCGAGTCGACTGGAATGGATTTGACTAGACTCTACTTTTCTCATTGTCCGGACTTCACTGACTTCTCCCGACGTGGTTCCCATTTTAAACAACAACGCGGTCCTTCTCGAAGTCTTCGTCACCGCTTCTATGCTTGTTCTTTAGCGAATGTCATCCGGCCGCCGTCACCGACGTGTGTCATCTACCATCGCCGCACATACTAGAAAACCCATAGGCGTCGTACCGGGGCGACTTATGGGCTTAGTTCGTAACAATACATATAAGGACTCCCACCATAACTATTCACGATTCTAAATGTTAACATTTAGCATGAAAGAACGAAATTTTGTCAAATCATATTATGTAAAAAGAAAATTCTGTAAAAACAATTCAAGAACTAAGAGCACCTTTCAACATTTGAAATAATGTTTTCGCAAGAAAAACGCTTCATATTTGAGATAAATAACAGAAGCCTTCAGTCGACCACTTTTAAAACAGACTGAATTTGATGCGTTTTTTTTTTTTTTGAGAAATTATATTTGTACGGATTTCTTGAATTAATGCTATGCCAACTCTAGAAAAATGTGAATTTACTTTGATATGTCGGTCAGGTCAAACCACATCTCAACTGCTAAAAATTTGCTGATCTTGTTTATGTAGTAAATCCCGTCACTTCTTCGATATATTACTTTCCGAGCGTAAGCTAAGGAAGGATTGTAATCGAGTCCATCAGGCGGCTCGCTACTTTTATATTTTCTCGACGTGTCATGATCCCTAGAATACGAAAACATAGATCTCTCGTTTGCGTCGGTTTGTCTGTCTGCAGACCAATTGTTGTCAAATTTTTGATGTATATTAGGAATGTCGTATAGATGATAAAACTCTGACCAAAATTTGTCTCATCTCTACCACCAATGTGATGATGTCATCTCCAAAATTTACAATAGTAAATGTTATTTAAATTTAGTTGTAGTTTATGAGCCCTTTTGAGTTTTTACCCTTCCCAACCAGATCTTTGTAAAAAAAATCAAAATTTTGTAACATCCTACAATGTAACTTTCAAATTGCGAAGGGGAATGTTCTGAAACTCTTCAATCGTTATAGAATGCTTATACATAAATGATTTTGAGTCGCCTCTGCTAATACACGCGGCATACGTGAGTAAACTGTTTCGTTATTTTACTGGTTATATCTATGTAAATCAATATTCAAGACGACCCAATTCATTTTCCCGAAAATTTGGGAATACAGTACTTTTATTTTTGGTAGGTATTACACTACATCTATCCAAACTGATATACGTGTCCTTGCAAAAATGTTGATGACGTAGTGAGAAAAAAAACATAGTAGGCATACAGTCGTCATGTTTCCGACAGCGAGGGAAGTACTGTCTAAACTCTTTAGACCAATTTTTTTTAATGTTTTTTTGCTAATTTATAACAAAAAGTATATTTTAACTACATATTTAATTTAAAACTGTTTAGTGGATATCACAAAAAAAAGTTTTAAAACAAAAAACGAGTCCGTTTAATAAAAAACGACTTAACATTGACTGGCAAAAAAACGGCACCCAGAAATATTTCGTAAAAACACTTTAAAAATTACTATTACATATATGTATCTAGTGATTGTTATTTTATTAAAGAACCAGTCGCTATTATTACAGGAGCTAAAAAACAGACAAATTATATAGGATGCAATTTAATTTAAGAAAGTAACAGAAACAGTTTAAAAATTTCAGGGTGGCCAGTTTTTGCTGATCAGTGTGTGCAATGAAATGGCACTAATACTACTTTCTATGTATATAAATACCAAATCCAACAGGAACTGAAAACTAAATATTCCGGATGTGCAGAAAAGAATTTCTAATTTCCTCTACATTGTATTCATGAAGTCCACATAAGGCATAAAATTGTCAATATTCTTTTGTAATATTTTTTTGGAGATTGTGATATATTTGTATTGTATACGCGTTTGTGGAGATAACAAATTTCATTCTCCATTTGATTACCTTGAAGTTTTGTTAAATCTAAATCTCGAACAAGGTCAACAGATGCTGTGATCATGTGAAAAGTGGGTGAACAGCTTGTGCAAAGTCTAACTGAATCTACTGAGGTTTCTTGCCTTAGTTGTCTAACAAATGAGAATGCTAGGTTCGTTGATCATGCGGTTTTATTGCAGCATTTGTGCGGCGATTCTAGTGTAATGTGTGACGTATTCAATGAGGTATCTTCTCTGGATAGTAAAATTTACTCATCACTCGCTATTTGATAGTTGTGCTACTGTGCACCTGTTTTCTCTCTTTTTATGTTAACTTTTGTGTTGACAACGTTTGGACGTCATATGGTCCGTTTGCTTTTATCTCAACTGAAAACCTAGAAAATAATAAATGTTTTAAAAGATTTATATTAGAATTATTTTCTAATAGAAATTATGTAAAGCCACCTGTTAAATTATGGCGGTAAATTATTAGTCCTTCTAACGGAAAGGCTACAAAGTCACTTATTTCATCAGGAAATTTCACACTTTTGACACAATAGGTGTCATTTTACACCATGCTGCAAACAAAAAAAAACAATATTAAAAAGAATTCTAGGCCTTAAATTTGCAGCTGCGTAGATTTTTGCTAGTAATAATAAAATTATCAAGTTTTTGTCAACAAATTGCCTAGTGACTAGATCAGAAATTTAAAAAATCGCTCGAGGTAATCACAATATAATGGAAAGTGAGAGCACACGGTGAACCGATTTATTCAAAAATTTTAAAATTTGGCCTTGGCTGTGATCGTTTAACAAAATGGAACCTACGTTGGGTGTGTGTTTTTTTTTTGTGGCGGAATGCGTTCACATGGAAGTGGTGGACCCCAAGGTTGGAAAAGTCCCGTTAAATAAAACACAAAATGAAGGACTCAAAATTATTTATTCTTCCACTGACAAAAAAAAAGCTGTGGCTCAGTTGTGCCGGTTGAAGACATCTCTTAATGCACAGCTACAAAAAAAAAACTTGCCTAACTTTGAATGAAATCAAATTAAACGTTCTAAATCAATGCAAATATTTGAATATCACAAATTTAATAACACCTAAGAAAAATCTGAATTAAAGTAACTGGATGCAAATATACAAGTTACTATGGGCGTGTGGCGGCAAATTTAAATTATGGCAGTCAACAAGAGAACAAAACTTTAATAAAATAGTATGCAGCGGCAGCGGCACCAGTGCGCTATAGGAGTGTGGCGATCATGGTTTTATTCTAGAACACAGCAAAATTACCCATAGGGGGCGTTGTAGCACGAGCGAAGTTTGAGGCTCGTGGTCGTGGCTGTTCTCCCCCTACGACGGTGATTCTATTCTATCGCCAAGCACTGCCGCACAGCACCCCTCCATTATGAACATGCCGTACGAGCAGGCCGTTACGGTCGCAAACTCGTGGCTATTGGGCCAAGCCGACAGCGTCATGTCATCCCGACCGCCGCTGACATCTACTCTAGGCCTGCATCATTTGTGCAGATGGCGCGACCGCCAGCTCAACAAGGAACCGCGCACTTCGCTTCCGCCACGTGTTATTGTGTTATTTACCTCAATTCCATTTAAATGTTCAATTTCTATAACTATTAACGATAACTGAATAATAATAATAATAATAATAATATTTATTAATATCAGGGACATACAAACGTGTTTGATATTCGTCATTGAAAAGTGGAGACATGTACAATAAAATTTGATAAAATTTATATAATCTAGTCACAAACACAAAAATTATAGAACACAGTAACTACATGATACACATATACATATAAACTAATATTTCAAATGAATATGATTCGTGAGAATTCTTTTAATGTGTATAATTCAGCTTTTACCAATTTATGTTTTACTTGCTTTTTGAAAACACTTAACTGCATTGCTCTATAGTTCTGAGGTAACGAATTATATAATTTGAGGGATTGGTAGTAACAGCTGTTTTCAAACAGTGTTGTTCTATGACGTGGATAACGGTAGATCTCCGTTTTTCTTGTGCAACTTTCGCTGATTAAAGCTTTTTGAAAATAGTTTTTATGTTGTTGATGAAAACATAGACATTCGTAAATATATAGCCCGGTTTTCGTTAATATATTGTATTTTTTGAATACACCCCTACACGAATCCGTCATTTTTAAACCTGCTATTATTCTCATCGCTCTTTTTTGCATAACAAACACTTGATTGTTATCAGAATTTCCCCAGAACATGATATAATATATAATAAGCCTTAAAGTTTCAAAAAGAGCAATAAACAACATTTAAATTCGCCATACACTCTCGTGAAATTTTAAACAGGAAAGGAATGTTATGTGGTATTTAGATTGGATATCAGACAATTTATATGAAGGAAACATTAATCACCAAAATATTTACAAGGTAAAAAAAACTAGCAAAGATTTATAAAAACACAAAAAGGTCTGGTGTGAAGTAAAACTTCACTTCTTCAAACCAAAAAATACGTGAGCATGAAAATTTACGTTCAATTTAAATTATACAACACAGAAAACTACTGAAGTTAAAAATCGTAAGATAGAGAAAAAATTGTACGAGGTGAAAAATTGCAAAGCTAACAAAATTACGAGTTCGATCAGTTTTAGAACAATACAGTGTGTCATCCAGATCTGACAAATAGAAACAGTCTTGTCAGAGTTGGCATCAAACGACCGACAACAACAAACAAGTGAAGCGAAGTCGGCGTCGGACGAATGCGTCGTTCGAAAAAATATGTCTTCCAGAAATGTGATCAATCCCATGGCGCTGTGCAAATAATGGTCTAATTCAAAGGAATACAATGCACCTTGCACATGATTCACAAAGTTGTTAATTTGTTCAACGAGATTTTACAGGTCAAACATGTGCTCGGTTTGAAACCACTCTTTCAACATGGCCGCTGCCAGAACAAAGAATTTACCCAATGTTAAATTATGCCACACTTTATCAACGATTCAAACAAAGAATTTACATTATGTTAAATTATGCCACACTTTATTCAAACAAAGGATATGCATGATGTTAAATTATGCCATGATCCAAGTGACTGGTTACTTTAGAACAATTCAGTTTGAGAGTTTATATTGTGGACTGTTCCCAGCTTATCCCAAACAAAACACATGATAAATAAACACAAAATGCATCCGGTGTTGAGAAAAAATGTGTCTCGGTGATATAGCTTTCCACTTTGCGAGAAAAATGTCTCGGATATTAGAAATTCTACCGCACTTTCCACGGTCCTTTCCCATAGTGGGACTAGGTTGATTTAACTACCGCAAATGGACTATTAACAATCTTGTGTGAGGAATTAATAAGTGTTATAATGTAAAACTTAAGTATAAGCATCCAGAAACCTTATTCATAATTTGATAAACATTTGATAAACAAAGGATGAGTCCTGACAAAGTGAATCTCATGAAATCGCCTGCAGGTACTTTATCTGAACAAATCTCATGGCTGTTAAATTGTGTACGAATCAGTTAAGGATTGAACTCCTAACATGAACTGTGAATTTACAAACAATAAAACTAATTTACACCACGGTCTAAAATTTGCATATTTCCGTTTGGAAAAACCGAAAGAATTAGCTACACGCGTTGGGAAAACTGTGGCGTCGTCGTCGTTACGATTAATTTTCGTTAAACAAAGGCTCCCCATTTTTATTAACTACCAAACCAACTAAACTTAACATAGCTAACTCACCACGTGGTTTCACTCACACCAAACAAACCAAAAGTGACGCGTCAGGATCCTTTAGCTGCCAAATCAACTTCTGCCAACCGTCTCAACAGAAATTCCCTAGGAGAGTTACCAATTACCAAAAAAGAACTAAACGTGCCTATGTTTAACGATTTTCTTGATTTGAATTTTTTTCGCGATTTCGCGCCGTTGTTTTTTTCAGAGCGAAATTTTTAATTCAAATCTGGTCACCACATCCCTATAATGCATTCGTAAAAAATGCACTTTATAATAATACACAGCAACGTGTAAATTATTCTCGATTCCATGTCTTATGCCGGTTTTTCATCTGTCACAAGTGCGAAGAACTGCAATATTTAATTTTCCCGCTTTATCCGACTCCACATATGGTGGACTGGCATTAATATTTCCCTCGCACCCCCGCGTTATCCATCTAGACTTTACTATAGTTGATATCATACCATACCATACCATAACATATCAGGTGCTACTCTTGCCAACTTCCCATATTTTGGGGCGCGTAAGGTAAGTTCCCCATGAACGCGTATTTGCGAAGTGCGAATGTCGCGTATCTCCATTCGACCAATGAAATCCAAGAAAATTTTGTACGCGCGTATCCAAGGTCACTTCGCTTCGAGTTGATTTTACTTTAACTTTTACGCGTAGAAAAGAGGTGCTACGGCGGTCAAATTCGAATGGTTTGCAAACATAACCTCAAATATTTTTCTGGATCAGAATCTCTCATTGTGTGTGACAAATTTGCACTGGCCCCTTGCAATAATCGGTTTGTTACAGTAAAAATAGGTCGCACCCAAAACTGTCTTTCATTCGCTTTCTTTGCTTCCAGATACAAGGCGTACACTTTAATAATTTTTTTTCGTAATGCTATCTTCCTTACTTTATTTTTCCTTTTTCGGTATATAAAACATAATTTCGTGATGAGTTCTTGACACAGCTCTACTGCTACTTTCTTATTATGTTTCCCCATTTCGAATTACATATGAAAGTAATGACAGATCTGATGACAACTTGGTTATATTTTGAGGTTATATTAACTTATATTTTATGCTACGCCTTTACGCGTTTTACGTTTATACGCACGCAATGGGGAAGCTATGTTTAAATGCAAGCTTGCGAATGCCAACGATACGCGTACGCAGATTCGCAAAAACGCGTAGATGGGGAAGCGGCCTAAAAGATTGTCGTCAATTTCACACATTGTGGAATAATAATTTATTCTTGTGACAATTTAAACTCCACATGTTACAATTTGATATTTGTCATACCAATCTTCCCAAAATTTTAAAAATTCTATGCAAAATTGCAATTTTGATTAGCAAACGGAGAAAAATTGCGAAGTAGAAAACTTGGTATCAAATACACGTTATATAAGTCAAAAAAATGTCTTATATCATAGAAAACTCATCTCTTATGTGACGACTGTTTTTTTAATTTCGGAATTCGGACTTGGAACGTAAAGAAGGCTACAAGGTTGCTTACGTCAACGAGAAAATTCATTCATCTGATGTAAACGTTGTCGTTTCAGTGACTACTCTTAATATTGTTCAGTAGTATATTAGCAAATTTTAGCCCCACCCACCCACCCTTTATTTTCTTAGAAGATATGTCATTTACCAAAATCAATCTTATCTTAGCAGATACTAGCCCCGCCCATACATGCTGTTCTCATTCCAACGATTTTATCTCTCTTCAATTGAGATCCATCTTTGATTCGGACTAGACAAACTGAATCACTGAAATGGAGGCAGGGTGGGTGAATTATATGTTCTTTTGTAAAATGAGAATGGGAACTAATAGAACGTAGGCTGTTAAAAAAAGCGTTAATCGTAATTTTTTTGTTATAATACTCATTTGCTATAGCATTTATTTCTTATTTTTGAGGAAACAAATATGAAAACGGTGGGTGGGCGGGGCTAAATTTAGCTTTTTCTAGTTTTATGATCAAGCAGTAGCCCCGCCCACCCACCCCTTTTTCGTTCCAGGGACTACTCTTAATATTGTTCAGTCGTAAATTAGCAAATTTTAATGAACCAATTCTGAGAAATTTTTTTTTGCTGCTACTGCGAGACCTGGTTCAAATTCTTGATGCTAGGGACAATTTGACGCCTTTAAGAAAGTTTGGTCAGACATTTTAATAACAATTAATAACAAATTTTGACGTAAACTAAATGTCACTGTCAATCATGTCAGTTTTGATTAAAAGAAGTAAAATGGAGTGACAGGTCTACCAATTTCAAGCAAAATTGATGCCAACTGAAACAGTACTTATTGACCGTGCTGTCACAGTAGGTGCTGTATTATGTAACCAATAATATAATGTAAAGTGAGAGCACAAGATGAACCGGTTTACATTTCCCACGCATTCTACTGCTAATATAGTTATTTTTGGTCTATTTTCCGATTTCCTTAGTCTTTGATCCGTTTAAATCCATTCTACTTGATCTACCCACAAAAGGCATTTATATTTCGCACAGAAACTCAAATTTTGGTTGGAAAATACAAAAAGATTAAAATTATGAAGAAAGCAGAAAACATATCATGTTTTTATATTTAATAATTTACAGAGGTAAAAAAATAAATTAATCTTCTAGTAGAAACATTCTATACAATTTCTCGTGTTCAACATTGTTAAACTTTGGGATAAAAGGAATTTTTATAATTTCCGAAAAGCCCTCAGTCAACTCTGGCTCTTGATATCCCTTCTTATAAGAATTTAAAACCAGATCACCCACAGCCACGTGACTTTTATCGGTCATTTCTCTAAACCTGTTATTGTGTTTGGCATGGCGGTGAGTCGTCGTCATCACAAAGCATCTGCACAGAATTCCATGTCTTTTTGCAACATCAATATATCTCTGTCGTGATTCTTTATCAGGATTAGTATTATCAATGACTACACTTTGTTTTCTCTGTATACAGTCTTCCAATAATTTCGCACATTTTTGCCACGTGCCTAATTTGTCTCTACTAACGTGGACGTATCCTTTTGAAATTAAATTATTTTTACAGAAATAACTTTTACCAGATCCAGGACCCCCGACCATTATGACCACTTCCTGCTTATCTGTGACTATCTGGGGATAATTTTCATTTGGGATTGTTCTTGGATCAAATTCTGGCATCACGAATGAGACAGATGATGATTTTAGGAAATACTCCTCAGGAGTGTAGAATTTTAATCCAACGTTTAATGCTAGCAGCCGGTCACAAATAGAATGATCTTTGTTTTTCTTTGGAGCCCAGTTCTTTTCTCTACCAGCAGCGTCGCCCACAAAAAATGATTTATCAATGTCAATAGTAACATCACCGTTTTTCAATTCTGATAAAGCTTTCCACATTCCAGGTGCTGGTTTTCGATAAATTGATTTACCAGTTGCTAAAAATACTTGAGCAGGAACTGATAGTTTGGCTATGATGGCTTCAATTTTGCCCTTGTATCCTTTTATTTTACTGAAATCATTACCTAAGCCTGACTGATTTGAAAAAATGACAATTTTATGATCATTCTCAAATAGTTGTTGCAGTTTTTGTGGAATACTGTTAATATTTAGCACCCAGTCATCAGGATCTTTAGGAAACCGTGCCCCCGACTTTGTTTTAATTATTGTTCCATCCAGATCAAATGCCGCTATTGTTGACTGTGGTACACAACCATCACAAGTATAAATTAATAAATCTTTACCATCAATTTCTTCCCACTGGCCAGAGTTGGAAAATTTCCTGTTGTTATTATGATTAGAGTTTACATTAAAAAAATCTAGTTTTGGTTTCTTAGCTGGGCGTTCCTCTTCTTCTTCATTTGGGGATTCAAATACAATGTCATATTCATGAAACCCTAAACGAACTTCAATTCTGTCTCCATGTTTTAGAACATAGCTTTCTCCTTGCATTAAAGCATAACCGTTACAGCCGGCATGTGACTTGCCGAGTGTTTTTACTAAAACTTTGGAGGTGTTGAGGTCTGCTGTACATTCCAAGTGGCTTCGAGATACATGCAGATCTATTATTCCGGTTTCTTCATTTCTTCCTATTGTGACGGGTTTTTCGTGAGGTAAAATGATACGTCTCTGGGGATTTCTTATGCTTTTTAAATAACAAATCTTGGTAGAAGTGGCCATCGATCCGTATTTACAATGACATAAGATGTTGAGGTTATGATCTGAAAATGTCAATGTTTCGAAGTTACGTTTTACTATGTCATTATATAATAATTACCCTGTAAGATTTTGTAATTATTATAAAATAGATTTCGCAAACGGAAAATAACTCTCATAAGTTTAATATAATAAATTTGCGCTCCTCTCGTTAATTTGTTTTGGTTCGATTGAACTACTGCGCGTTGAAACTACTCCAACTCATCGGCAACGGGTGGCAAACTTCTAAAGTGTTTTGTAGTTCTATTCATAAACTTAAGAATATCCGTAGATTGTGTCTCAATTTTAATTTCTGACCCTATTGTACAGCGTGATCAACAATTACTTTTTTACTTTTTAGAGTATGAGTGTTTCATGAATTACTGTTTTCATTTGGTATTAACAAACTATACTTGAAATTGATAAAACTGTCACTCCAACTTACTTCCTGTTATCAAAATTTGTAATTGCTTATTCTTAAAATTTGATACTGTCAATAACCCATCTTTCTTGAGCGCTTAAAAGTATATATTGTACCACCATACATTGGAATCTGGTTTGGTAACGATAGCACAAGAAAAAATATCAGAACTAATTCATTGTATGGCGAACTTAAACAGCATTTGTTGATCATACTATTCATATTGCATTTTGCGTTTGCAGATACTTATTTTAAAATTTTTAAACACATTATACTGAATGTTGGTACTAAACTTTTCGCAGTTTAAATTTTCAAAGTCCCCAGGATTGAAGTGATACTCTGAAAATTTTATAGAATGTTATGTTTATATTTTTAAAAATTTTGAGGGTCGCCTGTTCAGATATAAAATACAAGAGTTTTAAAAATTTAAATCCAAAAACTTTGGATTATCTGGGGCAAGTAGAAGACAAAACAACACTTTGATGGAAATTGTTGTGTTGTTAACTCGTTATTATTTTTTTGTTAGTTGCGGATTATTTAGGTAGAATATCAAATACCTAACCATCTGAAAAATTAAAAAAGGATAATTTTGAATAGAGTGTAAAAACATATTAATAATTATGATTAAATACGCCAATATATTTATTTTTATTTTATTGCATTACTTATAACTCTTAATAATTTTAAAAAGAATAATTAAATAAATATTTCTATTAAAGGGAATAGTAGAGACTTGACTCCAAAACGTTAAGTTATTATTTTATTTATTTTAGATAGATGAAGAAGGAAGTAGAGCATACATGGCTTCTACTTACTTTAAAATTAGACGTGTAAGCGACCAGCAAATAAATGTAACAATTTTGGTGTAAAATTTAATCTTAGAACAAGATTGAAGCACGCACAAATTTCGAAAGAATATGGTGTAAAATTTTGACGCTAAAAAGTAATGTTTTGTTTACATCTAGAACGGTGGTAATTTGAATTTAAAATGTTAGAATATCCTTATTCTTGTCATCGTTTGACGGCGTAACCAATATAAAATCTCATTTAAAAGTTAAGTTAAACGAGTCGAATAAGCAGCTTAAAATATAATCTGATTTTAGATAATTTACTGCAGGTGGAGCAAGAAGAGAAACGTTTATGATTTTTACCTCAAAATTCAATTTGCGAACAGTCCATAGACGGATCTAGTGAAATTTATTAATTTTTTTTACGAAAGTGACGACAAAATTGATGCAAATGTTGTAGTTACACTATACATAAAAAGTGGACATCAAGCATCGAATTATCGTTATATTAACACAAACGAAGCAACATCCAAAGCCGAAGCTTAAGTCAGAATAAACTTCTGCGTTTGGTATAGTTAAATAATATAGTTATAATTTAATATACCAGCTGAATAAAAAAAAATGGCTAAATAAGTTATTACTTAGATAAAATTTACTTCACCTTTGAAGTATAGTCAAACAAATAAAGTTTGTTAGAAAATTCGATTTTTACTTCCCGAGCGTAAGCGAAGGAAGTATTGTAATCGAGTCCGTTGACCGACTCTCTACTTTTACGTTTTCTCGACCTTTCATGACTCCTCCAGTACGAAGAAATAGGTATCCCGTTTCCGTCTGTCTGTCTATCCGCCTGTCCGTTTGTCCGTCTGTCTGCCGTCCCGGATTTTTACTAGACAGATACTCTCCGAAAGTACTGGGACAATTGTTGTCAAATTTTGTATTTGTATTAGGAATATCATGGTAGAACTCTGACCAAAATTTGCCTAATCATCCCCACCAATAATGTGATGACGTCAGTTCAAAATTGTACATAGTAAATGTGTTTTAAATTGTATAAAATAACAGTCTTACACATGTAGTTTATAACACCGAATTGAAAAATCTGGACCCGAAACGTCCAGATTTTTGAAAAAAAAAAATCAAAATTATGAAACAACATTTTGCAATTTAATTTTGAATCTGCAAAGCCGAATGCTTTGAAATCTTGTAGATGGTTTACAGTTCTGATAAGCATGATACATTTTTAATCAAAACATATTTAAAATTATAAATCCTACCTAAAATGTCCAAAATATGATGAGTACAGACTAGTGATTTATCATTCGATTCATATTTTATGGATTTGTATATACAGGGTGACTCAAAAAAATTAATGAATCTGGGTCAATTTATTTTATTGATGAAATCAAGAATTGCAAAACTGAATACTTTGGCATCTTGATGTTTTGAAACTTTTTAATCAAAATGTATCTGTTTATCAATCGCCAAAAATTGATAACGTCATCTCAAAATTTTGCCGAATAAAACCTATCTAAAATGTCCAAAATATGATGAGTCTATACTTGTGATATATCATTCCATTCATATGTCCACGACAGCATATTATGTCTAGCTTTTAAGGTCGACTCAGTATAACCTTTTTTATGGTAATGAAATTTGTTCTAAAATAATAATGCATCTATATAAATAAAAATGAATCGCCGAAATGTATGTACGCGCATAACTTCAGAACGACTGCACCAAATTGGATGATTCTTTTTTTATGTGTTCCTTATTGTCAGGACAAGGTTTGTATATAAGAAGATTTATAAAAAAACAAACAGCCAAAAAATAAAAAAATTCTACAAATTTTGTATGGGAATAGCCACTTCGAATTAATTTCAATAGTTGGCGTTCCTGACGGACCTGTCATCTAACTGATGAGTCATACAAAAATATTTCTTCCGTGCGATTGTAAAAAGTATATTGCATTTCAAATCGTTCTTTGTTTTTTCGTAAAAAGAAAGTCGTTTATTTTAAGAAAAGTCTTGGTTAAAGTGAATTTAGTTACACATTGCGAAAGTTTCTTATTAATTTTGATCTTCCATTCTACATATTTACCTCTACTATTCACTTTGTTGGTTTCGACAAAACCTTAAACTTTACCGTTATTCGAGGATTTAATTTGAAGTTTTAGATATTTTAAAATTCTCAAGACAAAATTTACAGATTTGATTGACTGTGAAAATAATTCTGTGTCGTTTTATGAAGTTGATTACAATGCCGAGAAGACGACAAGCTGACATAGGTCCACGAAGTCAATCAAATGTGCGACGAACTACCTCAGGTGCAAACCGCAATGATTTATTTCATGGGTAATTCGGATATGGAAGTTGATCAGCGTTGTGCTCATAATAAACATAATCAAACATTGAAACGAGACAGTGGGTGGTATGAATAAAACTGAGTAGATACTCATATTCGAAGTACGAAGTACCTACTTCATTATTATTCTTATATATCTGAGCATCTACTCTATGTACTGAGTACCTACTTGGAAATATTGTATCTCCCCGGATACAAATTGAACATCTACGCGTTTTGTGAGCATTTAATCTAAAAATGAGCATCGGCGTGGCAAATGACTGAGCTGTCTGTAAAGCAGCTTAGAAAACGAGTAGGATCGTTGTAAGAGTGAATTTTGACTAAACATGGCGACTTTCATGAACGTGGAACGTCGTCAAAAGGTCTATTCAGTTTGAAAAACACATTAGGAGCGGGAATATCGAAAACTTTTCAGGTAATTAACTTTTATTTTATAAATTGTGCAGTGCGTTTTTTCTAACACTGGCCATAGAGATTCCCATCTCAAGGTGTCTACTCCATACTAACTTATATTTTGGTGATTCGATTTTTGCCTTGATGGTTGAACACTGTCACTGTTTTCCTTTTTTGTTGTATCGAGATGCTACTTGAGCATCAACTGTTACCTACTGAAGTATTAGCGTCATCTAGAAAAACTAGAAATATTTTGATTTGATATTCGAGTAGATACTTCGTATTTCGAGTATGAACATCTACTGAGTTTTATTTATATCAACCATTGTCAAAAAATTGATCGAACGTTGTTTCGACAGAACTTCCTTCACACCAAAAGTATAATGAAACATATTCAGCATTTTCGAGTTGAGTCTTTTCTTCAAACAATTTTGTGATGACCTAATCAACATTTACGATCAACACAACAATTATCGAGGACCCGGGTGGGTTAGGTAGCTTCGTGCTTGCCTACTACACCTTGGGTCGTGGGTTCGATTCCCGCCTGGCTCTGGGTGTTGTGTATGTCCCCCGTTCCCCTGTAATTGGGCCACCGGGCCTGTAGGGGAACGTAATTCAATAAAAATAAATAAAAAAAAATAAAACACGTATACCACCTTGGATTGGTGCAGTGTAATACTAAAAATAACTGTATTGCATTCCAAAATTATCTGCGAAAATCGAGTGAGCCGTTCTATCAATTTTTTGGGGAAAAAATGTTTTTAACAATTTACCATACTTACAATAACTTTAAAACGTCTGCAAGATCTCAAAGTATACATTTCTGCAACTCTTGAGTTATTCTCTAAAATAAATTGACTGATCCATACATTTTTTTGAGTCACTGTAAAAGCAAATCTAAAAAATATGAATGCAATGATAAATTACGAAAATATACTGATGATATTTAGGACATTTTAGATAGCATTTATTCGGCAAAATCTTGAGATGACGTCATCAAGTTTTTGGGCTTGATAAACAGATACATTTTTATTAAAAACCTATCAAACAGTAACTTCAAAACGTCTGCAATATTTCAAAATTCAGTTTTGCAATTCTTGATTCAATCAATAAAATAAATTGACTGAGTGATTAATTTTTTTGAGATACCCCCTATAAGCAAAACTAAAAAATATGAATGGAATGATAAATCACAAGTATAGTCTCATCCTATTTTGGACATTTTAGA